AATATCGAATCGAATTCGAATATGCATCTATTTAATCGGTTTCAAATTCGAACCAAGCCTGGTTCAATTCGAATTCGCTCCATTTATACCCTTGGTGAGAAATATATGGTACGAAAAATAGTTTTAACCAATCAAAATTCACCCATGAATTTTGATAAATAACACCTTATTCACTGCCACTCTTATGATTATAGTAATAGTTAGTTATTTTGGAATATTATAACTTTTCCATCTCATAGTTGAACCCTATCTTATACAGGTGCTCTTACACTAATAAGTAAAAAAAATTATAAGGTGAAAGGCCAATAAGGGCTAGGGCTAGTGGCCTAGTAGGATGGTAGAAAGTAGTAAGAATGATCGCTCATAAATTACAAGTGAATGTGGCATTAATCGCAATAATGGTGAAATTCGTGATTTAAAAGGCATTGAATAGTGCATGAGAGAAGCTTATTAGTGCTTAATAGTGCATGAGAGAAGCTTGGAAACATGTGAGGCATATCTCTCTTCCAAAAGACTTTGGATCTCCTACGCACAAAAAACTGTCTTACCATAAAAATGCTACCTTTGTGCATTGGGAACATTTCCATGTGCATAATAACTTGAAGAGGATGAGATGTTCCCTGTGTATGGATGCGATGTTACTGGGTAGGAAATCCAGACCCGACTCCTTTCAAAAAAAGCGTAGACAAAGGCATGCGCATATGATGAGCCGTGTAATTTTGTTGTGCATCTCGCTAAACGTGTTACCTTTGAGTTATAATTGGTGGGGACATGAAAATATTGTGGTCCTTACTATATATTATCACACAATTTGACAATGTCTTTATGTTGGTAGTAGCACCTGAAAACTTGTAACCCAAATCGACATTCAATTAAATTATCTTATAGTTGGATGGGCCTTATACATCATCAAATCAAATTTGGATGCGGTTGATATAGTTCGATTAATAAATGGATCGAATTCAGACATAACCATTCGCTCCATTAAAAAATCGACTTCGTTTAATAGAGTTCGCGTTATGTGCACCCGTGGGTGCACTGGATGCGTGAACCCACGAATGAGATAATGACATGTTGACTAGGCCAACATTAACATCCGTTTGAGCGTTAACGCGGTCTGGTCGGCTTATTCGGACGGTTCAAACGGATACGAACCAGTCTGGGACAAAAGACCTCATTCCACTGAATCATACCCATACACCAAACCTTTCCTCCATCAGCGGCGATAGAGCTTCAGCGATTCATTGACAGCAACAAAATGACCTTCAGCGGCGATGTATTCTTCTCCTTCTACTCTTCATTCTTCTTTTTCGACAAATAACTCCGGTGGTAGGGCCGGGGATCATTCTTCTTCTTTTTCTTATTCTTCTTCTCCTCCATTGATAGGCCAATCTAAAGGACGAACAGGTACAGGTGATAGGACTGATACTGAAACACAGTACTAGATGAGCGTGAGTGAGGATTCCACTCCATAAACAAAATGAGCGAATTACATCCCGTGCTAGTATACGGTCCTAAACCTAATTATATATCAACAAAAAAAGAAAAAGAAAGAAAAGAAAAATCAAAGTATTCAGAATGAATATCTAAGCATCATATGGCATATGGTAGGTGTAGCAATTGCTTATCAATAGGAAATTTTAGGGTTTAATGGCATCAGAAAACAGAGTATTAAGAGATTAGGGATTTGTTGAATTTTTCGAAATGATTGGTTGCATCCATCCATCCAAATGTTCTGTAGGCTTCACAGCAAAACCTTAATTTCCAATTTTAGATTTTGTACAGACAAAAAAAAAAGCAACTTCAAAATCATTACAACTTCAGCTTGCGTTGTCTCACTATTTTTTAGGACATGGTACGATTTTATATGTCCGAGAATGAGAATTTGCATTAGTTAATATATTAACAAAAAAAAACTATTGTTTTTCAATAAAAGACCAGACCAACCATCGAAGAAGACGATGAAAAGAGGATAAGTAGAAGAAGAGAAGAGGAGAAGAATAAGAGAGAAGAACACATCACCGCCGACGACCTTATTGTCGCTGTCGATCAACCGCCAGAACTCTGTCGCCACCGATGGAGGAAGGGTAGGGTTCGGTGGAAGGAGCTCTCCAAGGGAAACAAAATCAAAGAAATGAGGCTCTTTTGTCTGTGTTTCATATCAGTTCATGTCCGCACGAACCGGTTTATGTCCGCGTAAACCGTTCGATTGAACCGATCAGATAACGTTAACTAGCCCGTTATGATAAAAAAATTAAAAAATTTGAAAAATGGTCAAAATCGTTTGAACGATTAACCGACCGATTCAGTGGTTTGCTGACCAAAATCAACGGTTTTGGGGAAGAATGGTCTGACCGTTTGGTTTGGTCTGGTTTTGAAAACCATGGTTTTTATTTCCCTTTTCCCATCAATTATACAATGAAATAAACTTAAACACTATTCATTTCGTATATGTTTGGCATCAAGCATTCGAAAAAATAAATGGTATTGCTGATGTGTGGGTTGGAAGCACCGTTTTCTGATAAAATGTTTTATTTCCCCGTTTGGAATTGTTGCTGTCAAGTATGTCTTGGAGCAACAATTTTTTTCTGTTTGGTACCAACGCTCCAAGAAAACGTTTTTTATCACTGGTACCCATTATCCAATGCCACATCATTGCTTTGTTGGTAGCAACGAGTTACAGGTCCAGGAAATGCCAAATTTGGCATTGCTCAAAGCCATGCCTTCCCAATTTTCAAGACATGGCTTGGAGCATTGTTTCCTGGAGCATCGTTTTTTCCAACGTGGCACTGATGTGGCATCGTTTTTTGGAGCAATGGCAATGATGCCAAATAGACGCTTCATTTTTCACCCAACCCCTTCCCTGATGAAACCACTACAATATTTTCTTCACCTACCATCGGTTGTGAAACACTTTAGTATTATGGGTGATCATTTTAACCCGACCTGCACAAGCTGGGCCTGAGCCCACGCTCACATCAAGCCCGCAAATTTTAGGGTCAAGCTTGGGCTTAATACTTCAAGCCCGGCTCGGCTCGCATATATTTAAACTTACGCATTTTGTGTATAATGTATACATGCTATTTTACAATATATTATATATTATATATATATAAATATTATTAACATGACATGTATAATTTATATTATATGTAATCTTTTATATTATATAATGTATAAAATAAGTATATATGCATGTCATGTCATTTAATATATAGATATGTAATGTTTTATATATAAGTGACATTGGCTGGGAATCAGGCCTAGGCCCGTATAGACCTGGGCTAGGGTTTATGTTTCAGGCCCAAAACCCCAGGCCTAAGTTATAGCCCTTATCATAAATACAAAGCCCGACCCGACCCATGATCACCTGTATTTAATATGCATTGTTTAATCGTTGTTGCCCTTAGGTCATGAAACAACGTTTAATCTCTCTAACCCCTTGCCACTAATAATAGTGTTTTGGCTTTATTTGACGGTGTACTAGAATATAAAACTAGTAAAAGGTTGCAAGAGGTTAAAGCAAAAATGAGAACAAATGAATGAGCTTAAAAAATGATACGTGGCTTTACCCTTTTGGCTTAGTTTGGAAGGAATATAAATGCACATATTTAGAGTGCAAATCCTTATATTTTTAATGTATTTATACTATACGTATTTGCATTTGTACTCTTTCCAAATTAAACTTTTTTTTTTTTTTTTTAAATTCATGTGGACTTTTTCTCTTCCTATCTCACATTGTGTCTAGGCGAGGAAAAGTTGCAACTTGCAACAGCCTGAGTAGCCAATAAAGGGATGAAATGATAGTGCAAGTTTGTTTTGGAACCAACCATTTCAACTTTGTATCTAAGCGTTTAGTTCTGGTTCTTATGTTAGGATTTTATTTATTTCCAAGTTAAATTTTCTTTTGTTACATTCTATCGAACTCGGATGATAATCCGGAACCCAATCCATTAGATCGAACCCAAATTCAAAACTTACCCCCATATCTGATCGGATTTTGGGTCAAATCCCGATGAGAGAATTTCATTATTGAATCAAACTTACATTCATGCACATCAGAATCCAATTCGGATTCATGTGCATTCTCAAATTTAAGAAAATTCCATTTTAGTATCATAAACTTTGGAGGTAGTGTCAAGTTAGTACCCGAATTTTCAAGTGTGTCATTGTAGTACCTAAACTTCCAAAAAGTGTCAAGTTGATATCTGCCATTAACCGATCTTCAATTGTTTGTTGAAAATGCCAAAAATACCCTTCAAAAAAAGACATTGTCATTATCTTCTACATTGAGATTGAAATGGGCTGAGTTGTTTAAGATTCTAAACTAATGAAGTCATTGTCTTTTACCTTTAAATCTGAAACACATTATTGTTTAGTTATTTCTTTTGCTTTTAGTTATTGTTTCCATTTATCATATTTCATATTTTTTTTCTCTTTTTCTTTGAAAATAACTAATTTAATATTAAGGTAGAAGACAATAAATAGTGTCTTATTTTGAAGGATAGTTTTGACATCTTCAAATAGCTGATGGTCGGTAAAGGTGAAACACCAACTTAACATTTTTTGAAAATTCAAATACTACAGTTACATGTTTAAAGATTCAAGTATTAATTTGACACTACCCCCCAAATTCCTGATTCTAATCGGAATTTTCCCAAAAATTTCTTGCCACGGGGAGTCACGGGACATTCTCTTCGAAATGAATTGGCAAAAAAACGTATGTTACTTACAGCAAACGTGCTTCTAGCAAAGTGATCGGATCGGCTGCCCACCCATCGCGCCCAACAACCATTCCCACCAGAGTTCAAATCAAACCCCACAACGTGCCACCGCACATCCTTTTTGTGTGGGGCTGATTTGAACTGTTCCCTCCGAGTATTGGGAGCATCCCCGTGCTTGTGATGGAAGATATTCCCAATGTACGGAGGTAATGGGTTGTGGGGCGCGCTATTGTACGCAGCCAATCCCGTCCCCAACATTCGTGCCTGCCTGTTCATTTCATATTTTTCTTCGACAGTCGATTCTTTCTCCCATCCCCCTCCGGACCCTCCCTCTCGCTGCGCAGCACTCTCGTCCCTCTCTCTCTCTCTGCACAGCACGAAGAGCAGGTAAGATCGATCACCTCTCTCTCTCTCTGAGATTTGTTTCTTCTTCTTCCTCCTCCTCCTCTTCTTCTTCTTCTTCTTCACTTTTACAGGTGGATTCATCTGTGTTTTTTGCTATTTTAGGGCATTAGTTGGTGAAGGGAGACAAACACAGTCGAGGTACATCCGACCTCACCCACCTTTAATCTCTTTACTTCTTTAGGGTTTTTTTCTTCCATTGAAGATTAGAGGTGTCTGTTTTGGTAGATTTTGTGCTTTTGTTTTGCCCTGTTTGTTCAGCTTGCCAAGCCAATTTGCCCTATTTAAAAAATGGAACTTCGACTTGGTAACGAGCCCTGGTCAGTTTCTCGTAAACATTTACGTATACACAGCATTATTGCCTATCTGTTTTGTTGCAATCATATGAACCGTTTGGTCGCATGAATGCTGATTTGAAGTTTAAAACTAAGTTAAAATTGATTCATTTGAAAATGAACAACACATGGAGCCGTCTATCTGTTCTCTCAAATGAGCTTGTTCCAACACTATCCTTTTTAGTCTTATCACTCATTCTTTTCAACATCATCATCTCACTGCTTTTTTATCTTGACATTTTGCTTCTTGATTACTCTACACTCTGTTCTGACTTGAGTATGATTTGAGACTACACGTCATGCTTCATATTTGGATATTGGGCCAAGTAGAACTAATCCACCTATGCATAGATTTCTTGGATCTTTATTCATCAACTAAGTGCTGTCATGACCATATGGGGTCGGCTACATGGTTGCTACTTAGCCATATGGAAAGACAATTTAGTGTTATAAACATGTTTACATTATTCCCAAATCTAACTTATTTTTTTACCTGCTTAAGTTTATATAACCGATGTGATTGGATGTTGTTCCGAATTTGTGTGCTTAAAATAACTTAATTTTTCAATGTGCAGTTCAGGCATGGCTATTGCATTTGAATCTTACCACTGCATATGGTCTACTCTGCTTTTCCGAGCTTACTGTTTGGTGCTGGTGTTTGGTGTACTGCATATGCTACTTTAGCAGTTATTGGGTCATTTCGGATCTTCAATTTCATCCGCACACTGTTTTGAATTGATAAAGCAGTTTGGATTTCTGTAAGAGATAAGCAGACTGTACTCCACCCCAGAATTCTGAATTCCACTGCAGACCTACAACAATTTAAAATTTCAAACACCTCCACTTAAACACCAATACCCGCCCGTGTATTGGCATCAATTCTGAGCTGGCACCTGCCCCAACTGTACGGTGGAGCTAAGATTTGTGGAGGTGGATTGAACAGTAAAAACCTCTTTTTATAATGGGTTATGCACAATTAGTTATTGGTCCTGCAGGCAGCGGAAAGGTGATTAGCTTATTTAAAAATCTGGAGTTATGTTATTATTTTGCCACTAATCGTTTTTACACTTCAGTTTATAGATTTAAAATCCATTTCTTATTGCCATTTTTTATTCATATTCTTTAGGCCATTTTTGCATTCTGACTTAAATTTATTTCTTTTGGTGTTCTGTTTCATTTTCAACCAGTCAACTTACTGTTCTAGTTTGTATCAACACTGCGAAACCATTGGGCGCACTATCCATATTGTGAACCTAGATCCTGCAGCAGAAAGTTTTGACTATCCTGTGGCCATGGGTAGCTAGAATCTCAATAGTTTGTTACCAGAGCTTTTATTTTTATTTTTTTGCTGCTACTTCATCCTTTCTCTAATTTCAAAGAGCTAAAGTCTCATGTGCTTGCAGATGTTAGGGAACTCATTTCTTTGGATGATGTTATGGAAGAGCTTGGGTTGGGTCCGAATGGTGGCCTCATTTATTGTATGGAGTATCCTACCTTGTGTGTCCTTTTTTTTGTTCCTTTTCCTTTTTCATGGTTCAATGTTTTTTTTTTTTCATTTTCTTCTTAATCTTTATGAAGGCTTTTGCTACTTGATTTTAGAATGGAAGTAACTTTATTGTAATCTACACATCATGCATTAGATGTTCTTGGTCAGCCCTAGTGCTTACATTCCCAAAATGTGTTATTGGCAGTCACTATTTCTTAGTTCTTACATTCACATCAGGGCAGGATGAAAATAATCCTCTTAAAGTATAATTTGGGGTAGAGGTACAGACACCACTTGCAAAAGTGATGCTGGACATATTGTATATATTCATTATTTGATTCTTTATTAAAAATGAAGCATACAATTACCCATAAAAAAATCCTCTTCTTGAAATACTCTATCCCATCATATAGTCTTTGATAGGTAATATTTATTGGTTAATTGGAGTCCATGGGTTCAATTTGATTTGCCTTAAACAACTATTTCAAGACATCTTGAAGAAAGTTTGGATGACTGGTTGGCGGATGAATTGGAGAATTACCTAGATGATGATTATCTAGTTTTTGACTGCCCAGGTATTGTAGTTAATGTGGTTTGGTTATTCATGCTAACATGCGATAGAAGGCTGTCTGTGATAATAGAGTTCTTTTATGTTAGTATTATTGTTGTTGTTATCATTGTTATTATTATTATCTTCATTGTCTAATCTATTTTATTGCTTATCTGTAATTGTTCGTTAGATAACTAGGTATCTATTTACAATTCTTGTCCTTTTTGGTTTTTTTGTATTATCATTCATGATATGTTTTCTTTTTTCATTTAGCTACCATAAGCAACATCATGATATTTGTCACATTTTGGGGTTAGAAGCAATCTATCTGTGGGTGCTAATGATAGATATTTAATGATAAAATAAATACTTAGGGCTGTCATTGGGCTTGGTCATAGTCAAGTTGGGCCCCATGTTCCTTGGATATGGCAAGGACACAACATGGATGATATGGACCTAGGACCTATTTGAAGTATCCTTCTAATGCAGCTTGGGCTTACCACTCACGGCAAAGTTAGGCCTAAATCCGTTGTAGGCCTGGGATGTGCTTAACAAGTTTGGCCTATCTTGGTTCAATAAATATTTAGAATGGTATTCCTGTCAGGTGTAAATAAGGTGGTGGTCAGGCTAGGGGGGTGGTCTCCTTGAAGGACGTAGGAGGAATAAGAATCAGGAACCAACCGGGAGATTAGGGCAAAGGGAAGTGATGAGACATCCGAGTAGGGGATCTAATGACAGGGCTAATCAGTGGGTGAATGGATGAATTTCGTTATGAGAAGGATCTCTATTTATGGGGGAGATCCTGAGATCCTGAAAGGAAGGAGCTAAAGGTGTTTGTTTTCTACTAGGAAAGGGAATATTGGATTCGTTGTCAGTCGTTAAGGAGCATTGCTAGGGTTTCGCCACGTGTTCCTATGGGGATCTCTTCGAGGATTGACTTTCCTTTCACTCGAATATTCTCATAACCCATGCGCCTCACTTAATTGATGTGGCGCCAGTGACGTCACTGCTTGGCGGACAACATCTTATTAGACCTACGTGGCGCTTTGTCACGTTCGCCACTTCGAAATTATGCGCGCAGCTAATATCCGAGCCCGGTTCTTAACGAATCGAGATCCCCTAGCGATATGAGGCCAAAAGCATGTAAAACCTCATCGCAGGTTCAACTCGAGTCGGTTTTGGGCTTGCGCTAAGTGTAGGTTCATCGCAAGCGTGTGGTGGACCGCGGGTTCATCGCAGACTTGTGATGTACTTTAAGTTCATTGCAGGGGAAAGATGAGCTGTAGGCTGATCGCAAGCGTCCATGTAGCATCAATCTAGTGTTTTCTGTGCTCTAAGAGACTGAGCGAGCACTTGTACCTACACCAGACATAAGGTGGTCATATTTAAATTCTGCCAAAAAGTTTGGTGGCCCTGAAAATCCAAGATGGAGTGGTAAATAGCTGTAGGTTGTTCTCCATTCTTTGAACACTGGAAGGTTCTTCTCATTAACTTCCCACTGCTCTTCTGCTTATTCTTGTATTTCTTTTCTGTTTTATTTCGTCCCTCCCCAATCCCCAGAAAAGGTTTTGTACTTTGTCCTTTAAGCTTCAACATAAATTGCACTGTTCCATGACCTTGGGACTTCCTACTCCAGTTACTGCTAGGTTCTCTAGCACATTTTCCCACCTTAAAAACCTTTATCTTTTATTATTTTTCTTTTTTCAGCTTCTGAAGAGCAATTATCCCTGTTCCGACCGCTGAACCAACTTCTATTCTATTCTCATTTGTATAACTATGATTGTTTTTAATGGTAACATAAAGAAAAAGCTTTATTGATCTTAAGAAAGATTACAAAATATCCTTGAAGAGATGAGATGGCACCTCATACAAAAAAAGATGCAAAAACACCACTAAGAGATTTTGTTTTTCTTTTTTTCCTTTTTATTTATTTACCAAAAATATGTTTTGGTTTGGCTAGGGCTGCAAACAATATAAAAGATGACTTGGCTAAAAGGGGGCTACAAGGGACAATTTATTTTGGGGGTTGGTAAATCAAGGGTGGTCCATTAAGTTGTAATTTTAGAAGTGGCTAGTTGAGGCTATACACCAATTTAAGTCTGTGAGAGGTTCTTTGGACCATCCTTGGGTCATTGGTTGTGACTTTAATGTAACTCTTTCGGTGGAAGAGAAGAAAACAAGGAGTGGAAGAACGAGGCAGATGAGGCTGTTTGCAGACTTTATAAATAACATGGAACTTATGAATATACCTATTCAAGGTAGCAAATTCACCCGGACCAATAATCAAGAAATTCCCACCCTTGTGTGGTTGGACAGATTCTTGGTTTCTTCAAACTGGGATGATATCTTTCCTGATTTTAGACAGATTACTCTTCCCAGACCTGTTTCCGACCACTGTCCTATCCAACTAATATGTGGTCACCGTGAGAAAATTAGAGCTCCTTTCAAATTTGAAAATGCTTGGTATGAGGATGAAAAGCTGATTCCTTTAATGAATTCTGTATGGAATGATATTCAGGTGGAGGGATCAAGTTCCTTTATTTTGGCAAAAAACTGGGTGCTATTAAAAGGAAACTAAAGATCTGGAATTTGGAGAAAAAGTTAAATTTGGGCATTGAAAAGAAAGCTCTACTGGGTATCATTGAAGAGATTGATAGAGCTGAAGAGATGGGTCCAATTTCTGATGAGTTGAGGCTGAAAAGATCCCAAGCAAAAAACAGTTTTGATGAATTGGTTGTGAAGGAGGAAATTAAGTGGAGACAAAGAGCTAAAATCACTTGGTTAAAGGAGGGTGACAAAAACACACACTTCTTTCACAAAATGGCAAATGCCCATGCTAGAATTGCTTCTATTAGCAAGCTGGTGTGGGAAGATAAGAGCGGGGACTAATGGGCAGAGATTAAATCATTTGCGACTTCTTTTTATAAGAAGCTCTATAAGGAGAGTTGAAGGTTTAGACCCTTCCCTACATACCTCCCATTTAGGCAGCTGGATGAAGTTCAAAAAGCTTGGCTTGAGACACCTTTTTCTGAAGAGGAAGTTTGTGCAACAATTAAGAATTCAGAAGGAGATAAATTACTTGGGCCAGATGTTCTCACAAGCAAACCTTTTCTACCTAAAGTGCTGGAATTTTGTGAAAGAAGATTTGATGAAAGTGTTCCAGGAATTTCATTCAAATGCCTCGTTGCAAAGAAGCTTGAATGCCACATTTATCACTCTCATTCCAAAAATTGAAGGGGCTGTAAATATTAAGGATTTTAGGCCAATCGGTCTTCTGCACAGTTTTTACAAAATCTTGGCTAAAGTCTTGGCAGAAAGAATGAAAGGAGTGTTAGGTAGTGTAATCTCCAATAATCAAAGTGCATTTGTTCCTGGGTGGCAGATGGTGGTCTCAATTCTAATTGCTAATGAACTAATTGATTCTAGAAGAAGAGAGGGAATTCCGGGTGTGATTTGTAAACTTGATATTGAGAAAGCATATGACTTCATCAACTAGAATTGTCTGGATCGTGTGTTGGACATAATGAACTTTGGATAGAAATGGAGAAATTGGATCAGAGTTTGTATTAAGACACCAAAATTCTCAATCCTAATTAATGGTCAATCCACGGGTTTCTTCGGTAGCTCTAGGGGTTTGAAGTAGGGAGATCCTTTGTCCCCTTTGCTGTTCATCTGTGTCATGGAAACTCACTCTTTTTAGTAAAAAGGCTGCAGAATTTGGTTTATGGAATGGGTTTGCAATCTACCATGGAAAGGAAAGGGTAAATATCCTGCAATTTGCAGATGATACCTTATGTTTTGTTGATGCCTCTGTGCCTCCATTGGAATTAGTGCTTGGGATTCTGAGTTGGTTTGAAGTGGTGTCTGGTCTTAAAGTTAATTTGAATAAAAGCTAGATCATTCCAGTGGGCCATGTTTCAAACTTGGAAGAATGTGCAAATGTGATGGCTTGTCAAATTGATTCCCTCCCGGTTAAATATATAGGACTGCCTCTCGGGGCTAAATTTTCTTCTTCCTCAATTTGGTGCTCAATTATTGAGGGAATGGAGAAGAAACTGGCCTCGTGGAAGGCAAAATATCTATCGTTTGGGGGTAGGGTTACCTTGATTAAGAGTGCTCTCTCCAACCTGCCTACTTATTTCCTGTTTCTTTTCCCCATGCCAAACAAAATTGCAAATAGATGTGAGCAACTCCAAAGGAATTTCTTGTGGAGGGGTTGGGAGGATGAAAAGAAGATTCGCATTGTAAAGTGGGATCAAGTATGTCTCCCTAAGGAAGCTGGTGGGTTGGGAATAAGAAAGCTGAAGAAATTTAATTCTGCCCTTCTTAGCAAGTGGTTATGGAGATTTGCTTCTGAGAGGAATGCATGGTGGAGAAGCCTTATTGCGTCCAAGTATGGTGTGGAATGGGGTGATTGGAGATCTAAGGAGCCTAATCTCAATGGGGGAAGATCCCTCTGGGCAGGTATCTTGAAGAGCACTCAATTCTTTCTGGATGGGATCAGATTTAAAGCTGGTAAGGGGGATAGAATCAAATTTTGGAAGGATCCCTGGTGTTTAGCGGGTCCACTGGCTGATGCTTTTCCCCTTCTTTTCCAAATTTCTGTGAATCAAGATTCTTCAGTTGCTGAAAATTTTAGCATTTCTGGTGATTCTATCATTTGGACTCCTCTTTGTAGGAGAAATTTGTTTGATGAGGAGGTGGAAGAGTATGGAGAGTTGTTGGGGCTGCTCCAAAATCAGATGATTGATTCGAACTCAGAGGATGAATGGGTTTGGAAGTGGAATGCAGATGGTAGCTTTTCAGTCAAATCCCTATTTCTGAAGTTGTGCGGTTCAGGTCATGAGAACTTCCCTGTTAGACAGATTTGGAATCCAACTAGTCCCTCTAAGATCAATTTTCTGGTCTGGACTATGGCCCTTGATAAATGTCTGACTAAGACTAGTGTGGAGAGACGAGGTATTCAGATCCTGGATCTCTCTTGTGGTTTGTGTGGAAAGAGTGCAGAAACTACAGAGCACTTGTGCATCCACTGCCCGGTATCTTCATTGATCTGGGGGCATTTTCTAAAGGTTTTGGAGATTAGCTGGACCATGCCAAAATCTATGAAGGAGCTGCTGATGTGTTGGAGAGTTGAGGGGTCTCAGCAAGAAAGGAAAGATTGTTTGGAGTTCCATCCCGACAGCTGTGTTTTGGTCCATTTGAACTGAAAGGAATAACATAATCTTCTGTGGTAAACTTAAAAGCCTGGATGAAATTGTGCAGAGAGTCGTGGGGAAGCTTTGCTCCTGGGTGTTGGTGAATGAGGAATTTAAGAACCAGAATGTACCCTTTTTGTTTTGTTCCAAGTCTTGGATGAGCTTGTAATTTGCATTGTGCCCAGGCAGATCTAGTGGTCTGGGTCTTGTTGTATCTCTCTTCATTAAGATGATTAAGTACTTTACCATTTTCCAAAAAAAATGTATACATCTCTTTGATATTAATAAAATATTCTGTTTGTTGCTGATAAAAATACCATTAAGGACAGCAAAACAATACAAGTTCAAAAAGGTTTGTTTATATGCATATATTTGTAAATAAGATGTGCTCTTTAGAGAGGAAATAAGTGTCAATAATCTATATGTTTTCTTGGTTGTTTATTTGAATAATGTATAGGCCAGATAGAACTCTTTTCTCATGTCCCAGTGCTTCGGAATTTTGTGGACCATTTGAAGCGCAAGAATTTCAATATCTGTGCTGTATACTTGCTTGATTCACAGGTTTGTAGTAGTTTCTTTGGTGAAATTTCGTCATTTTTATACCTAGTAATGTCTTATATTCTTATTAAGTTTGACTGCTACTGCACTGTACGCTTGATAGATCTAAAACTTGTTTTTTTTTTCTTTCTTTTTTTATCAGTTTATTACAGATGTAACCAAATTTATAAGTGGTTGCATGGCATCTCTTTCTGCAATGGTTCAACTTGAATTACCCCATGTCAATATTCTCTCCAAAATGGACCTTGTGACAAACAAAAGGGATATTGAAGAGTGAGCCATTTTTAAAATGTCCACTGCAATTTCCTCTATCAACTTGTATATACATTTCCCCCCTTCTAATCATTCTTTTTATTATTTACTTTTTGCAGCTATTTAAATCCAGAGCCACGGGTTTTGTTATCAGAGTTGAATCAGTACATGGCACCCCAGTTTGAAAAGCTCAATAAAGCTTTAATTGAACTGGTAAGAAAGTTGAAGGCAATGACCCCCTCTCTTATCTAATTCTATTTCTTTCTTTCCTGCATCTGTGGAATGAGTTTATGGAAAAATCAAACAAAGCTTTGATTGAGTTAGTGAGTTATGAAGAAATTCAATCATCCTATGTTCTGTCTTTGTAGTAAGACTATAAAATCTTCAGATGTTAAAAATATCCGCAATAGAATCTTTTCTTTTCTCACAGTTTTTGTTTTAATTGAGAGAAAATAACATTGCACTGAAGATTCATAGACAGAAGGTTAGATTTTTACCAAGGCACTCTACTGGTTTTCTTGCAAGTTCGAGGTGCTGTCTCTTTCAACCTTACTGGTAATAAAACTGGGGTTTTCTTTCACTATGCATGGCATCTGAAAGCTATTCAATTAGGTGCCTTTATTTGCCCTTCCTCATGGAGGATTTCATGGTGTGCCTACGGAGTGTTCTAGAATGCCTTGAGGCCAGCTTCTAGGCAGGCTAAGGGAAAATGCCCTGACATTCAACCATGAGGCCCATGTTTGAGATTGCAACTTCGGATGCCTCACGGCTTATGTTAAGATTGTGTTCTACATCCTGTAAATAAAGTAGGGTTCCCATCACAAGGCTGAGTTAGATATCAATATCAAGTTTTCTATGTATGGTGCATGTGCCTATTTGTTTAGATTTTTTTGGTAAAGCGTCTATTTATTTAGATTGATGCCTAATTATTTTTAACTTTTATGTTGCACTTTATTAGGTGGACGAGTATAGCATGGTCAGCTTCTTGCCTCTTGACTTGAGAAAGGAGAGCAGGTACTTTCTTATCTGTCTGCCTGTGTCTGTTTGGACAGGTTATTTACCCAAAACTGGTCTGTTCTAACAAGGATGTTGGGAGGGTGGACTAGATATGGACCTAACGTCCTGCATCTTGACTTTAATCTTGTGTTATCATGCTTGTTAGCTTGATATTAGTTGAGCCAAATAATGGTAAAATGAGATCATGACATCCTTTTTGGGCCCTTTATTTTTACTTGTTCTCAATTTTTGTGGTAGTTTCTTTATTCTTTTCCTTCTTATAGTAGTATTGAAAGATAATTATGGTCACTATCTTTGGTGGGGTTGGGGGGGGGGGGTATCACCATTTTGAACAATTGAAATTGGGGTGACATCTTCTAAGAGTTGTTGGAACAACCTAAAGAGTACATTATTTTCTTGTTTTTGACTTCTTGGGTTTCTGGGCCTTGCAAGGGAGAAAATAGGGATGAAAAGAAGAGTTGCATTAGTCTTTAAAGTTGTCAACAATTGGTTCAGTTTGACTTATTATATTTTGGTAGGATCATCTTGTGAATTACCCCATTAAGAACTATCTCTTTGATATGTTTTTAAGAGTAATGATATTGTTCTTGAATTGGGTACAAGTGCATCATACACTCATATCTGGATCACACAAAATGACAGATGAGGAGCTTACTTGATATATTCCAGATAAATGGTATATGATGCACTTGCATATGGTACAAGTAAAAAGAAAAGGAAAAAAGGGTAACTCATTTGTATTGTTACAAACATATCGTTATCAGTGGACTTTATTTATACCGCTTGTTTGTTATAATTGTTTCAGAAGAGCACCTTGTTGAGTTGTGCTAATATTTATCTTTGTAACCATACAGTATACAGTATGTATTGTCCCAGATTGACAACTGCATTCAGTATGGAGAAGATGCGGATGTCAAAGTTATGGAATTTGATCCGGAGGATGAAGATGATTAAAATACAGTTATAGGGGGCCCTTTGTTGCTTGAAAACCTTAATTGGCATTGCAAGTACTGTGGCAGCATGGTATACGAAGAGTTGGTTTTTGAGAAACAAAATACTTGTTTCCTTTTGTTTAAACCTTATCATAGTAATATAGTAGTACAATTACTTATTTTGCTTGGCAATTACTGAAGAATAGGTGGAGATTTTTGCATAGGCTCCATTTGGAAAGACTACAAATACAAATATGTAGAGTGTAAAACCTTATAAACGATATTTCTAAACCTTGTATTTGAACTGTACATATTTGTATTTGCACTCTTCCCAAACTAGGCTATAAATAACAAATTATGGTTTCAAAATCATTACATCAGTTTTTGTGACATTTTCTGTGCAGTCCCACAATTAAAATCAGAGCAATGCGCTTCTATTGAGTACACAGGACATGCTTCTTTTTTTCCCCTTTGTAAACGCTGTAGGCAGTTTGACTTTATCGTATGAAAAGTGCATTTAATTGGGTATAATTAACGTGAAAAGGTACACCACGTTTTGCATTGGATTATATGCATGGGTTGTTGGGAAATTAGGAAAAAACTCAAGGAGTAGTTTATCTCCGTCGGAAATGGGTCCCCTTTTTAAATACTCAAAAATTGACTGTTTCAGCTACAAAACTCGTATGGTTCATGTGCAAAACTTAAAAACAAATTAGATCATGCCTTCACTTTCAATAAAATTGGGGCCTTTTTTTTAGAAATGAATATATGGACCCACCAATGGAACATGACCTAAGATAATAATGTAGGTAGCTACTTTCGCTCCGAGCTGACTTATTGGCATGTTAGCCCACTCTGCAACCTCCACAGGAAATATTGCATCTTTTTTCTTAAGAAGCCCTAACCTCGGAGTCATTATACTCTCCTTCGCTGAGGGGGGCTGAGGCTCAGGCACTGAAGTATCTTCGGGCTCACGAGGTGGGGTCTCCTCATACTGATCATCTTCCAAGTCAGCAACTGGAGGTTGGGGGTGAACCTCCTCCCCTGGGAGCTCGGTAGAGGATGGCTCTGGCGTTGAGACATCGGGTTCGGCAGGAACCAAAGAGGTGGCCTCCTCTTGACGGGACATTTTTGAAGCCTTTCTCTTCTTCCCCTTCTGAACATTCTTTAAGAGGTTAGCGGCATCGATACTTGTCATAGCTCTTGCAAAAGAGAAGAAAAGGAGAATTTTTTCAATCAGCTACGAACTGAAGTAACTACAAAAAGACAAAAGGGAGAAGTAATGTGCGTGTCGAGGTAGAGGCCTCCTAGGAGAACTCAGCCCGGCTCGTACAAGCTTCTCCTCGGCTAGGAAATCTTCCATCTCAAGCACGAGGAGCCCTGAATCCTCCACATCGACGGTTTGTCCAACCAGTAGGGAAGCGATGCATGATTGATACTGTATGACCCAAGCGAAGTGAAGCTGGAGTATGCTCTCCGGTTTGGATTTGAGGCATTGAACAACGGGGTAGAATATGAAGCACTGGTCGTCGGGCTAACCTTAGTAAGGGAAATGAAAGCAAAGCACGTCATCATATGCAGTGACTCATAACTGGTGGTCAACCAAGTCACTAGCGAGTACGAAGCCCGTGACCCAACTATGGCAGCTTACTTGGCCAAAGCCAGAGAGATCCTACATAGCTTCATCTCCTTCTTTGTCAAGAAAATTCCGAGGTCCGAGAACACTGAGGCCGATGCCTTGTCTCGTCTAGCAAGCACGAGCAATACCACTATGCGAACTGTGTACATAGAGGATTAACCTCGGCCCAACATTCTCGGGGGGACAGAAGAGGTCGCTTCCGTGTTGCAAGCGAAACCGAGCTAGATCGACCCACTCGTTGGTTATCTGCTCCACGGGTCCCTACCTGCGGAACGCAATGTGGCTCGGAGGGTAGAGCGTCAGTCAGCCAAGTACATCCTCATAGACGGACAGCTATACAGAAAATCTTTCACTCTCCCTTATCTACGCTGCCTGCGACCCTCAAAAGTTGAGCACGTACTTCACGACATCCATGAAGGCTTGTGCGATGGACACTTGGGGGCAGAGCCCTCGCCTAGAAAGTGTTAAGGCAATACTACTATTGGCTCACAATGAAGGCAGATGCACTCGATTTCGTCAAAAAATGTGACAAATGTCAGAGGCACGCCAATATCCACCACCAACCTGTTGCTGATTTGAAATACCTCACTAGCCCGTGGCCCTTCGTGCAATGGGGAATCGACATCCTTGGTCCTTTCCCGCCAGCAACAGGGCAGAGGAGGTTCTTGGTTGTAGTAGTAGATTATTTTACAAAGTGGGTGGAAGTCGAACCCCTGGTAACAATCACATCCCGTAACATACATAATTTCTTATGGAAAAGCATAGTATGCCACTTCGGACTACCCCGAGTGCTGATATTCGACAATGGGAAGCAGTTCAATGATGTTAAGTTTCAAAATTGGTGTGCCGAGATGGGGATTCAGAAAAACTTTACCTCGATGGCACACCCCCAAGCGAACGGATAAGCAGAAGTAACTAACAGGGCAATACTTCGCGGATTGAAAGCTCGCTTAGCTCGAGCAAAGGGATTGTGGGTGAACAAACTGCCCAGTGTCCTTTGGGCCTACTGAACTATTATCAAGACCGTGACGGGTGAGTCCCTCTTCAACCTCATGTATGACACAGAGGCGGTGATCTCGGTAGAGATCGATGTGCCCACATTGTGATTTGAGGCTTATGATGAGGAAACAAACGATGACAACTCCGTACCAACCTAGACCTGGTGAGGAGGTGCGAGACCTGGCTTACATTCAGACGCGGCCTACCAGTAGAGAGTAGCTCGGTACTATAACGCCTGGGTTAGAAAACGATAGTTCCGTGTCGGTGACCTTGTTCTCCGGAAAGTTATGGTACTTGAGCCTGGCGTAGGTAAGATCGGACTGAACTGGGAAGCTCGCTTACCTTGAGCATGGAACATTGATAACCTAAGAAGGTACTACTTATGAGCCCATGACTCCAAGGCAAAATTTCTTTAAGCTGATGAGACCGTCGAACTGGTCAAAAAAGATGACCGATTGGAGAGAGGACTGTGAGTCACTCCCAGAAGCCTAAGGGCTATGGTGCCAAGCTAACAAAAAGAGCTCGACACTACAATAAGTCCTAGTCGCCTCTTCGGCATAGGCAAACAAGTTCTAGTCGCCTCATCGGCATAGGCAAACAAGTCCTAGTCGCCTCTTCATCATGGGTAGATAAGTCCTAGTCGCTTCCTCGGCATAGGCGTAACGATTCCCAATCGCCTCTTCGGCTTGGGCAAGTAAGTAGCCCGTGCATAGACAAGTCGGGTATATACCCTACAGTGTCTATCCACTTCGGCATACAACAACATAAGGTTATTCCTACCTGGAGTCCAGCTCGCTAGCCTGACACTTCGGGATAATCGACACTTAGAAAAATTTTTACTTAAAAAGATTTTTGCACAAGAATTTGTGCACACATAAGACTTTTTGAATCATTATACTTCATTTACAAAAAGTTTCGAGTACTTGACAACTATTACTATAACTGAGCTCAGAGGACTGGGACATACACTATATGGGGGGGGTCCAAGAAAAGAGGCATGTTCAAACATCAGTTTTTCTAGAATCTCCTCCAGTAGGTAGGTCAGTCTCCATGTGGTCCTCCTCCACGTCATCTCGACCTGCCTCCCCTGACGGTCTCTTTTTGAGAAGTTCGTCATCGCTTTCTCCCTTGGAGGAGTCAGGTTCCTCGTCAGCCTCCTTCGCCATCTCTGGAGTAACGACAAACATGGATATGGATCTGAGATCGAGCTTAGGGAACTTCTGCCGCACCAACCACCTGCAGAGCTTGAAGCCCGATCGATACGAACCAGAACCGTACTCGACCTGGAGGTCGAGAAACTCAAGGGACTCTTTGAACTCCTTGATGGCACGATCTATTTCCTGAATCCTCGCCTTCCGAATTGCAGTGTCGAAGATTTCGATGCACTCCTTGATCATCGCCTCAAGGTTTTCATTCTCCTGGAGGAGAGCTTCCTTCTCCCCCTTGAGCTTCTTCTTTTCCTTCGTTAGCACTAGAATCAACTCCTCCTGGCTCCGAGCTCCCTTTTTGACCCTAAGAATTTCACCCCGAGCTAAGTCCAACTCGCGGTAAAGCTTCCGAGCGTTCTTTTCGGCCTCCCGAGATCGCTTCAAGCAGATCTCAAATTGATAGACTAGCGAGTGGATAGTAGAGTTCACCTAAAAAAAAAAGAAGAAAACAAGCGTAAGTATCGTTGGCAAAAGGATAAGAAAGTAAACGAAGGGGCAGGTTACTTACCACCATACATTAGGTAGCTGCTCTCCCTCCGAGCTGACTTATTGGCATGTTAGCCCACTCTGCGACCTCCACAGGAAATACTGCATCTTTTCTCTTAAGAAGCCCCAGCCTCGGAGTCATTATACTCTCCTTCGCTGAGGGGGGCTGAGGCTCAGGCACTGAAGTACCTTCGGGCTCACAAGGTGGGGTCTCCTCATATTGATCCTCTTCCAAGTCAACAACCAGAGGTTGGGGGTGAACCTCCTCCCCTGGGAGCTCGGTAGAGGATGGCTCTGGCGCTGAGACATCGGGTTCGGCAGGAACCAAAGAGGTGGCTTCCTCTCGACGGGACCTTTTCGAAGCCTTTCTCTTCTTCCCCTTTTGAACACTCTTTAAGAGGTTAGCGGCGTCGATACTTGTCATAGCTCTTGCAAAAGAGAAGAAAAGGAGAATTTTTTCAGTCAGCTGCGAACTAAAGTAAGTACAAAAAGACAAAAGGGAGAAGTAATGTGCGTGCCGAGGTAGAGGCCTCCCAGGAGAACTCAGCCCGGCTCGTACAAGCTTCTCCTCGGCTAGGAAATATTCCATCTCAAGGTCGAGGTCCCTCCAAGAATGGATGACCGCCTTGGTCTTTGCATCCAACCTCAGCCCAGGGTCCTTAATGGCCACTCGCCAGTGAGTCAGGAATGGCCATCCTTCAGTGTTCCGAACAAAAAAGTACCTTCTCTTACAGGTCGATACCTTGTTCGAGTTATCGAACAAGACCTTGAACCCGAGATGAGGTGAGATATAGTAGCTCTGTCGGGTGTCATCGAACAGGCGAGAAGAATTTTTCTTAATGGAACAAATTAAGCTAAAGATGTCTAGAGTGAGAGGTCGGTTATACTCGTGGAAGAGTGAGATTGTACCAACGATAGTACGGATGGAGTTCGGGTGTAGTTGATCGATAGTGACGTTAAAAAACTTAATAATTTCTATGATGAAGGGGTGGAGTGGGAAGCGCAACCCAGCTACGAGTTGCTTCTCAAAAACTGTGAGTTCATAATGGTCATGGACCCAAGGGTACTAATCCAAAGGAATGCTGAAGACGAGAGTATCGGGGAGACGGTAATGAGCTATTAAGGATAATAACCTGTTCGAGGTCATCGTGGAAGGGCCGAAGTTGTCTGGATCCCGACCTCAAGTAGAAGACGAGACCCCCTCTCCGGAGGTCAGCCGCTCTACCTGAGGTTTTGGTCCCTCAAACTAAGATGGCCCAACGTCAGGTAAAGGCATTTCTTCTAAAAGGTTCAAAGAGGAGCTCTCTAGCGAAGAACTGGCCTCATCGGCGGGAGCTGAGGACCGCTCCTTGGCACCCCCAGGCTCGCTAGAATCACTAAGTAACCTATCTATGCTAGCACTAGACATATTGGACAGGAAAAGGAAAAGGAAACAACCAGTGAAAGAAGACAAACTCACTAAATAAGGCGATGACGACCTCAAACACAAGGGGAGGGGTTGGCGAGCTGAAGGATTGCGACGCGATCTCAAGAAAGCTCAGTTACACGATTTATGGCGAGGATAATGGGCCCTTCGGCCTCTATTTATAATCCACCACATCTGACAATCGACGGTTGAGATCTGTGCGATCCGACAACTTCCATGAAAACCGGCTACGCGCTACCCGAGGACGAAATTGGTTGAGCACGCTCTTTGGTGTCCGTGGAATTTATAAACAGTGTGACGTTCGCACGTGACCGATACGCGATCTGGGTCATTTCATGGTTGAGCCAGATGATTGAACAGGTCTGACCAACGGTCCGCCCTCCAAGTCACCTAGACTTTGTGCCAAATCCCCATGGACTCGTCATGAACTCCTCGCACCGGGTCAGGACCCCTAGCACGAGGAGTGGGGGGCAATTGATGAAGGGTGATTTGGCATGACCTAGTAAGAAGGGGTCACGTGGACGCGATCTGCTCGAGGGGTGACAACTCAACCAAAGGAACCCAGTTTGCAACAATCGGAGCTCGGGTATTCCGTCACCTCGGCGTAGAGACACCTTGTGACCCAATCCAGTTCGGGACTAAGGAACCAAAGTACTAGTTCGGAGCTAAAGAGCCAAAACGCCACATAATCAATTCCAAAGGTCTCCCCAATGGACCCCAAATTTCTCGGGATCACGACGAGACTCATCCTAACTCCGCCTGAATCGGAGGAAAACAATAAACCTTATCAACTGACACATTGCTCTCATTCGAAAACGGAATAGATCTTTATCCGCACAACCCGGAGATCCCGAAGCTTTTTCGTTAAGTCCACGACTATTGCACTATATAAGGACATCAAACCCCAAGGCAAAGGTACGCACGATTATTTACTTACTAGCACTCAAGCATCAAAGTGTTCACCTCGCATCCACAGTATAGAACTGACTTAACCATCGGAGCGACCTCGTCAGGTTAGCCACCCCGGGTTCTCTGATCTATTATTTTGCAGCTTGGTCCAACTCGCCACGCAACTGGAGTTCAGATCATCTTCCAGCTAGGAATATCTAGATCGCACATCATCACCATTAATGCTAACATGTAAATACGGAAGGAATTCGGATCTCCTACTCATGAGGATCCTACCCAAAGGAAATTCAAAAGATGTTCCCATTATACAAGTGTAGTACCATGTAGGTAGGATCCTTGTGGCCAAGAGATCTGGGCTAATATGGGAGATGTTCCCAATGTGCAATTATAACGATGTATGGGTAGGAGATCCAGATATCCATCATAATAAAAAGGGGAGAATGACCATTCCACCCAAGGTTAGAATTCATAGGCCCAAAGTATAATTGGGGTAGGTGCCAGTTCGGAATTGATGCTAATTACGAGTGGATATAGATGAATAAAGTGTGGATTTTTGACTTTTGAATATTTATAGATTTGTAGTGTAATTCAGAAATCTGCATTAGGGTGTCCGTACTTCTCCTTAATAAAAAGTGAAACCTGACTTGTATGAAATGTTTGATGTCAAACGGTGTTGGAACATATTTTGTTGGGAGAGGATTTAGAGTTCCAAACTTATAATTTTCTGATATCACGTGATTATTGAATGGAACAAAACACTTCCAACACTGTCCCAACATGCCACTACAAATGCACGTGAGAAACATCTCTCTCATCGTTCATCGAGAGATATTCCTGATATAAGACTGCCATGGTTGGTTGGGACCCTACGTTGGTAGCTGATCCGAAAACTTGTTTGTTATGTTGTATAATGGTAAATAACACTTGTTGATTACATTTTTATTGGAAAAAATGCTGAATCGATCACTACCCAACCGGCAATGATCCGAAAGCCGGGAAAAGGTTTGCTTCGGGTATCCAATCGCACCGTTGATTTGCTTTTAAAATTTGTTTGGCAGTTGTTTTTGTTTTTCCAATCTTAAAAACAACGAATCTATTTTCTTTCACCCCAAATACCAGTCGAATTACTCCTTTCATTTCCCGAGTTGATAAGATATTGTGTCTGCGCAACCAGCAAAAATATGTGATCGATCATCAAATCTCACGGCGAAGAGATTCCATTGATCAGACGGTGGTGAGTGGCCTATCCTATTCGATCAGGTGGTACGAGTGGTAGGCCCTACAACATAAGGACGCACTTTTAATTTCATTCGCAATTTCGCATTAACAACCATACCTGATACCTGCATGCGAATATGCCGTAACCCCTAAATCCATCAATCATCATAATGAAACCGGGTCTGGGTGTAGCTACCCTACACAATCACTTCAAATATTTTGTTAGTCAATGGTTCAAGGCTCTGGTCTACGACCTATCCCGTGGTCCCGCTTTGCCTTTTGTTTTGGCGCCCGATGACCATAATAAACCCCTCCTCCCGCATAATTATTATGCACCCTTTCCAGAGAAAAAGTCTTGTGTTTTGACAATTATTGGCCAGACATACCACTCTCACACCTTACGGGGCCCTCATCCGTACACGTGGCACTTTTAGTCTGATTAAACAATTCTAACCATCTTATATTGGAATCTCTTTCGGAGACACAGCCAAATGGGCTTAGTTCATATAGTAATTAGACGGTTCTGATTTATTGGAAACGGATGATGTATCCACGTCGTGCCCACATAGCTAATAGCTTTTTTTCTCCCACTGGGTCGCTCATTCCCTACTGTAGTTCATGGTGTTATTTTCTCGCTATTTTCCTTTTGCCTACCAAAAGAAAGGAAACAAAACGAGGGGCGCAATGCGCCAAGCGAGTATTGACGAGCCATCCCGTTTCATTTATCCATCGGTACTATATAGAACTTTTTTTTTGGTAAGATCGGTACTGAAGACTGAAAAGGCAAGTTCCTCGGATGCTTCTCTGATACATCATATCATTTCTATTTTCTATCTGTGTTTTTTTTTCGCATGTCTAAAATTGGCATAGATGACGGAAAATGGTCTCTTCGTGAGCGTTTAAAACCGTCAGATTGGTTGAAATCCGCTATTCTGGATTAGACTTATCCCATTCCAACGGATGATTGATCGTGGGTCAATGAGGTCGGGTTTTACCGATTTACTTTCGCAGTCCCCAGGAACAGAGATCACATGATTCACATCAGCGCACTACAGAGCGCGCCCTACATGCATATCTCAGCGTACATTGGAAATATTTCTAAGAACAATGCACGACTCACGAGTCACGACTGACTCCTCAGGCCATTTTGACACTCGACAAACACGAGGCTTTTTTCCCACTTCTTTCCACGATTTTTTTTCCCTAACATTTGTTTATTTAATATTAGTAAAAAAGAAAATAGTATAATCATATGCTGCTGCCGCTGCTGCTGCTGCTGCTCCAAATACTTTATTTGACATGGTTCCGTATCTTATAATTCTCTCTTCCTTCTACTCTTCGTCGTCTCTCTATTTGGGTTTCCCTGAAGTCTGAACCACGGCTTGAGCTTTCGTCCGCCATGGCCGTCTAAGCTCTATCTTATCTCTCCTCTAGTTTGTAATATTTTTTCCTTCACAGGTGAGTGTTTTTCAGTTATACTTAGCTACTCACCCCCAACTATGCAATCGATTTACTGTTAGTAATAGCTGTTGAAGCAGTTTTGTTTGATTTATTTTTTGATTTATAATTCATATGTTTTAAGTTTGATCAAAGCTATACGTTTAAGTTGAAGTGGAAAACTGATTGTATGCCAAGTAGTAATCTCCTTGGTTTCAGAGCTATTCATTGTTTTCTTCAAGGTGGGGTTGTTACGTTTCTTTCAACTTAAATTTCCGTTTCATTTGAATTTTGTTTCAGCTTTGTTACTTGTGTCATATGTATCCATTATCTGTATTTTTTTTGTCGATTGAATTGCTCACGGGTAAATCTCCTATTTCCCCCTTTATTAAACGTGAATTTTCAAGGGCATGAGTAGCTGTAAATATGTTTAAAACTGACTTTATTTTTTCCACCAAGCATGGCCAGTGAACTTTGTCATATATTTATCTGTTGACTCGAATTAAGTTTTGGTCGGTTCCTCTATTCGGGGAATAGTTTCTAAATGTTAACTTCTGGAAATACTAAGGGGGAATAGCCGAGTGAGAGAGGAATGCATATCTATTCTTATTATGTATAAAAGAAAGAAGAAGCACTTCCAAGTTCGAGTTTGCTTTCATCCCTGAACTGGACCTTAATGGTTGATATCAGCTTGCTGTCAAGGTGTCCATGTGTTAATAGTGATCAAACTGCTATATGCCTTATAAGTTGGAGCTGAAGCTGATGTAACAAATTTTATACAATGTTGAGTTCTAATGGAGCAGCATATGCCAGAAAATATTGACCAAAGGCTGACTGCTAAATAGAGGTTCTACTGTGATGATGTCCTTGAGGTAATTCTTGGATAATGTGGTCTTTGAATAAGTTTTTGCCCATTTAAAAGGACTTAGATCCATATATTGGAACTATAGCTCTCTACGTTGACCACCAGTGATGTTGATTTGAACTGCTCTTCAACTCATGGGTTGTTGCATGCTATGAAGATGTTCCACAAGAAGCAGTGAGGCAGATTCTGAACTTCCATTTTTCCTTCCATGTCATGGTTCTCTAACTAGTCCATGTTAAAGTGAACTAACCAGTTTCATGGTTTTAGTTATTCATGGGGCTGCAAGAAAGGAAGTGTGAGAACTACATGCTAGGGGTCCATGAACTCCCTGTGGATATGCATGTCTATTATAGTGTGTATTAGATTAGTTGAGTAATTTTTGAGGTTTCGGATTGCCAGATACTGGTTGCATAAGGTTCAAATGATAGAAATCTAGGTTTTGGTTTTGCAACTTGGCTAACAATGAAGATTAGATTGAGCACCATTTAACTGTAAAGATGATATGCGGGTTGATAAGGTTTAGTGAAGAATGGTTGAGTCCCAGCCACATTCTGAGATGTGTCAATTTGTCATGTTTCCTATCTGTGGGTATGCAGTCTAATAACTATATTATTTATTTAGAACCTTTTCCGTTATTCTCTTTTAATGAGATATAGCTACAGCTTGGAAAGAGATCCTAATGACAACTGATGTGGAAAACTTCATTATGAGCAGAAAACAAATGAAATTCTGTCCAAGTTGGCAATCAATAAAGCTTGTTCAGAAAACAAATATTTTTCCTATTTAACAATACTAATGTTCCCACTCAATTGCTTTGAGGAAAGTATCACCATGTGAGGAAGGTTGATATGGTGTGATTGATAAAGAAATGGGCATTCTCACTTAAACAACTTATCACTTCCTCACCATGTGAGAAAGTGTTCCCACTCAATTGCTTTTATTGACCAGAATGCACCATAAAAGGAAGCTTCCATTCAATTATCAAAAAATAAATCCTTGAAATTGACAGCTCTTGTGTTGATGGCTATCTCAAATTTCAACCTATTGACCTACAGTTCTTGCTGTTATGATTATTTTCTCAGAATACTCATCTTTCTGTATCATTAAGATTTTAGGCAGTTATTGACCTTATAGAGTTTGTTAAATTTGTTGTGGCACCTGTAGATATCTTGAGTAAGACCTCTGAATAATTATTCTATGATTACATGGGAGCTATTGTTTTTGCTTTGTATCTTTTTGTTTTTGCTTTTTACTTTTATTGGGCATTCTTGATATTTCAAATATGGTTCATTTTTCCTATTTTGTTCATAAGCTCAATGTTGAGTCTCCTGTTTGAATTATTAAAGGAGAAAAGAAACTTATATTAGTTCGGAATTTATTTATGTTTCAAATATTATATTAGGTCATTGGTTTTAGGTAGGATATTATCCTGATTATTGGCATTTATTTGAAATATCTTGCTCTGAACTCAATGACTTATCCTACCTTGGCCTCCTTTGTGCTTTAGGTGCTAGTGTGCTAGCTTTTTGAAGGATTACTATGATTAAATGTAAAATAATTCCTTACTTTTGATACTTGAGCATTGCAATTTCATATTTGTTGGTTAGGTTGTTTAAGCTGCTGGTTTTGAAAAGGGAAGGAGTGGCACCACAACTTGGAATGTCTAACAGTGAGGATTCTGGTAGCCCTGGATGGAGTGCTTCACTTTTCATGCAGACAACTGAGGATGTTGCAAGAGCTGTTGCAGCTGCAGCCACTGCTGTTCGCTCTCCACGTCCATCTGTAGTATTTTCATCCAAAGATGATAGTAACAGTCAACTTCAGAAACTGCAGCGCCATGTTGCAAGAGTATTAAAAGGTTTCTCACCTCCTCTTGAAGTGAAAAAGAGTAATTACAATCCAGAAGTTCTAACCAGTCAAAAGCGTCAATGGGCAAACTTTCAGTTGCAGTCCTTGGTATGCCATTCTCAATCTTGTTGTCCGCTTTAACTTGAAGCAATTATTGTTCTGTAAGAAGCATTTTCTAGATATCTTCTCTCCAAGCAGTTTGTGATATTTGCTTCCATGATAATGGTTTTATCTTTTATCTTTTTTCTTGTTCCCCCTCTTTCGTTTCTTTTGGCTCTTTGGCTTCAGCATATGATGCATACTTTTAATTGTGAAAGATTTGTTAACCAGCTGGAATATTTTCTTTCATTTTCCATAAATAGTGGTTAGTGGAGTGAGGTAAAGTTGAACAACAATGAACATAAGTTTTGTAATTTATCTATCGATAACATGTCTCTTGTTATTTAAATTCATAGGATCAAAGGTCTGTGAAAGAGCCATCAAGGCTGTTTGAGAGTATGGTAGTTGTTGGACTTCATCCAAACTCAGATATTCAGGCACTTCAAAAGCAGATATTTGCCAGAAGTTCTGAAGGCTCGGGGAAATTTCGAAGTGCACTGAGCCAGAACCAAGCTCGTGTAGAACCTAACCTTGAACCTCAGGTGTTGAGCTACAGATCCAACATTTGTTTTGATCGATATCTCGTATATTAAATATATCAGTGGTACTGCACAAAAGTAAAGCTGACCTCTGAATATAGTTTACAGTACTACACAAAAGCACAAAAAACATAGAGATGTTCATTAATGCTTCAGATTTTGCATTTTAATGTTGAGGACCTTTTGGGCATCTCGGATATGATCTTTCTTTCCTTTTTTCAGGTTTTGTTTGTATATCCTCCAGAAAAACGGCTACCACTCAAATATAAAGATCTACTTTCATTCTGCTTTCCTGGAGGTGTGGAGGTTAGTTGTAACGTTGATGGGCCTTCTGCCTGGAGTATATAGAATTTTCAGTTCTCAGTTTGTATTTTGCAGAACTTGCAACCTGCATTAATTATAGAATTTAATGCAGTTGTAGATTTTGTATGTATCAGATCTGTAATGTGCACCTAATTAATATTTATTAACTTATTCAATGCTAAGATATGAGAAATGTATTATGCTGGAATAGCTAATTAAAGGTGGAAAGTTGCCCTTGATCATTGCATCATTTTGTTGGAGCGTGGAAGGAATGGTGTTATTTTTTTTCCTTTGTTACATATTTTTAGGTCCATGTGGAATTATTTCTTTCTAATAATTAGAGCATGTTGCCATATCCCCAGAGTTTTATAGACGAATGTGCCTTTGGCTAGGAGGTTCAGTGGTGGTTATGAAGCTTTCTAGCCAAAGGTGGGTCATTCTGGAGTCATCCGGGGCCACTCTGGAGAATTCTAGAGTATTCTCCAAGGGTTTGGAGTGCTCTGGAGTATTGTAGAGTCTTCTGTGCAGTCTAGAGGCATCTAGAAGGGTCTAGACAGGCTCTAGAATGTTCTTGTGTATTCTTGTACATTGTAGAGTTTGAGAGAATGTTCTAGAGTAGGGAGTTTCTAGAAGGGCCTCTAGAATGTTCCAATAGAGGAGGTGGAACTTGTCTATCACATAAAGAGGTGCTAATGGACAGTCAAGATGAGGATGTGATAAGTGGACGGTCAAGATTGCACCCCTGAAGGTGGTTGTGAGTCCTATATATAGGGGACTCCTCCCTCATTTGCACACAAGTAAGCAAGCGTTCACATGTCCAGGAGTCAGTGGAATCATCCAAGTGTTGCAGGTCTTGTGTTTGAGTGTATAATGAGTGCTACATTGTTTTCTCCAAGCTTCCGAGTATGCTACTTTTTGAGTGTGAATAAGTTAAAGGCCACACAAGAGGGGCATGTGTCTTCACAAGCACTCTAGCAAGGGCAGGATCCTGGGCAGGCAGGCTGACTTTACCTGTGGGATGAGTGGTGTGCCACATGACTTAGAGGCTGAGAGAGTTGGGTTGTGACAGCATGGTGGCATTCCTTTTAATTTGCTAGGGTATCTTGACTTCTTGGATACTGGTGCCTTTATGATTTAATGGAGGATGATCTTTGTAATCCAGAAGGAATGAAGTAAAGATATAGCTGCATATTTTGAGAAAATTTTGGTTGCGTATGTTAGCATCAAGAAACCTATTGGATCAAGTGATTTCACAAGAGGTTGCAAATACTAAACAAGGCTAATGAATAAAGCTTGTTTTCAGATTAAGACCTGTTTAGTTGAAAAATTTGAAGTAGTTGACCCACTTGCTACTTGTACAAGACCTAATGAGTAATGTTTTTTTTTTTTTTTTTTATTTGTTAGTATTTGGTAGCAAAACTATACAAAAATTCAGATTCATAATTAAAATAAAGCACTTTTATTTTACAACCCTGCAGAATTGGTTACATACAACATCATAGATGAGGTTGGAGTTTGGAGATACAGATACATGATGAAGGAAAAGGTTGCAAAGCGAAGGGAGAAGGATTTTCTAACTTGGAAAAAGAAGTAGTAGAGAAGGAGCCTGAAGGGTTAGGGGGTCCATATACAACTAGTGATTTAAAAGGCACACCTAGGTGCATAGGTGAGGCACATTTTAAGGTATGTGTCTTGCCTAGGTCCCAGGTGCACCACTTTCAAAAGGTGCATGCCTGGTTCACCTTGTGCCTCAGCCCAACTGTGCATCTTTTTTGTTTTTTGTGCTTTTTGGTGTTTTCTAAGCATGGTTGCTGGGCTGGGCCGCTGGGGGCTCCACCCGAAACCCCCGACCAAGCACCTTGAGGCAAGCCTAAAGAAGTCCATGTTAGGGGCTTAACCCCCTTTTTTTGACATATGTCTTAAATCCCCTAGTTTCGATCTCGAAAGAAACTGTCTTAAACCCCTATTTGCTAATGTTGCTCATTCATTCATCCCAATAAAAGATGTTTTTAAATGATAATTTAAATTATAAAATATTGTTTTTAGGGATTAAGAATTTTAAGACCCTAACATGGACTTGTTTGGGCTTGCCTCAAGGGGCTTGGTACAAAGGTAGCTTGTAGAACTAGGAATGAAAGGTGTAACGTCACATTAACTATTTGAAATAATGCAATTGAGATAGAAATAAAGAAATAAAAGTTTGACATGCTTGAATATGTTTTGTATGCTATTTTTTATTTTATTTTCACAATTTTCACTTTGAATATGTTTTGTATGTTATGTTTACGTATTTAAATTTGAGCTAATAGGCTTTTTAAAAACATTTAGTCTAGAATTTAGGTTTGAATTTTTTTAATTAATACTATTTTTAGAAAGGCTGCAGATTCTGGTGAGTGGGATGGATTTGCATTCTCTCCTGATGGAGAAAAGATCAATATTCTCCAATTTGCATATGATACTTTATGCTTTGTGGATGCTTCTACATCCCAGTTAGAGCTTGTCCTAGGAATCCTATCTTGGTTTGAAATTATCACCGGACTGAAAGTCAATTGGAGTAGAAGTCAAATCATTCCAGTGGGCCATGTGTCTAATGTAGCTGATTGTGCGGAGGTCCTGGCTTGTCAGACTGAATTCCTCCTAGTGAAATACTTGGGACTGCCGTTGGGTGCAAATTGTCTTGCTTCTTCGATTTGGGACCCAGTTATTGAAAGAATGGAAAGGAAGTTGGCTGCATGGAAGGCTAGATATCTCTCATTTGGGGGTAGGGTTATTCTGATAAAAAGCACTCTTTCCAATTTACCTACTTACTTTCTTTCTCTCTTCCCCATCCCTATCAAAGTTGCCAAAAGATTGGAGCAGATCCAGAGGAATTTTTTTTGGAGTGGTTGGGGGAGGAGAGGAAAGTGCATCTTGTAAGCTGGGATCAAGTCTGTCTTCCTAAGGCTGAGGGTGGGTTAGGCATTAGGAAAGTGAAGAATTTCAACACTGCCCTGCTAAGCAAGTGAATTTGGAGGTTCTTGGCTGAGAGGGAGGCTTGGTGGAGATCTCTCATTGCAGATAAATATGGGGTGGAGTGGAGTAACTGGAGATCCAGGGATCCTCCCCTAAGTTGGGGTAGTTACCCTTGGAAATCTATCATGAAAAGCTTCTCTGTGTTCATGGAAGGAGTTTCTGTTAAGGTTGGTAATGGGGAAAGAACAAAGTTCTGGAAGGACCCTTGGTGTTTGGATGTGATTCTAGCTGAATCTTTTCCTCATCTTTTTCAGTGTGCTCTTAATCAAGAAGCTTCTGTGGCTGAGTACTGTTGTGTGACAGGTGGGTCTCTAACTTGGACTCCCATTTTTAGGAGGGATCGGTTTGACTGGGAATTAGAAGAGATTTGGGGCCTGATGGCCCTTCTTCAAAATCAAAGGATTGATCAGCAGTTGGAAGACAAATGGAGGTGGAAATGGAATTTGAATGGTGAATTTTCTGTTAAGTCCCTTGCCTCTAAATTGGGTAGTTTGGATGCTACTGACTACTATAAGTCCTTCAAAAGCCAACTTTCTGGTTTGGACGATGTCCCTGGATAAATGTCTCTCCAGAGTTAATTTGGTGAGAAGGGGCATTCAGGTTATGGATCCTTTATGTAGTCTGTGTGGGCATCATGCTGAATCGACAGATCATCTATGTATTCATTGTCCTTTTTCCTCTCAGATTTGGGGATACTTTCTCAGAGTCTTGGAATGCAGTTGGGTAATGCCTAGATCGGTTAAGGATCTCCTTGATTGTTGGAAGGTGGGAGGTCTTAGTAAGAAAGGGAAGCTGGTGTGGAGGACTATTCCTGCCGCTGTTTTATGGTCCATTTGGGCTGAGAGGAACAGTAGAATCTTCAATAAGAAAGGCAAAAGTCCTGCAGACACCATTCAGAGAGCTGTCGGCAAATTGATTTCTTGGATATCTGTATCTGAGGAATTTAAAAGTCTGAATTTGTCTTCTTTTTATTGTTCTGAATTCTGGAGGAAAGTGGAACTGCTGTGGTATTCAGACTGCCCTTCTGGGTCTGATCCCAGCTTGTATGTTTTTGAGTTGAATAAAATTACTTTACCTTTTACAAAAAAAATTAATACTATTTTTAATATTTTCTTAATTTATTTTGATTAGCACCTTGCCTTGAGCCTTGCGCCTTGGGTGCAAAATGGCCTTTGTGCTTTTTTTTTTTTTCGTGCCTTGCACTTATAAAACACTTTATACGACTATCAGCCTTAAGAGCATATCAGAACACTCCTAGAATTTGTAATAAGCTGATTACACTAGAAAGTTCTGAGTCTAGGATACCCCTTCTAAAACCCAAATCCCTATCAAAACAATTAAGTGAAGTTAAGAGATTAAGAGGATAACAAACTTTGAAACATGTTCCTTTTTGAGGGCGGAGAGTGAGAATGAGGGAAAACGATCTTTTAAAGGAGAATCCCCCACCCATACTTGTTGCCAAAATCTGATACTATTACTAAAACAAATATTATACCTGATACAATTAAGAAAGGCTGGTAGGATGCTATGAAACCTTTGAAGGAGAAACCTGTGTATCTCTAGCTGATAAGCCAACGCCCATCCATTATCTGTCTGTCCATGTATGCTTACAACCACTTTATGCCATAACTTTGTATTTGTCTATTTTGTATGATCCTTCTTGTATGCAGTTTCATGGTTTTATCTGGAGAGAGGCTCTGCTTTTATCATTATTTTTTTCTTTAAAGCTTTATTTATTCGTTTCCAGGTTCATGCTGTTGAAAGAACTCCTTCAATGAGTGAGTTGAATGAAATACTGCTTGGGCAGGTAAAACCATAAAATCTCGTGTGTGTGTGTGTGTTTCCAGTTTATGGTAATGTGATTTTGTCCATCTACTTATATATAGGAAGGTGCTCTGTTTCACTGCTCAACAACTTCTATCCAGTGTGTTGAATTTAGTAATTGTTGCTAGAACCTTTGTAGTCTAACTCTTGTTCTCAAACAAGGAGGTTATGAAATTCTATCTCCTGTAGCACAAGCCATTGACTGATTGAGGCATTGTATGTTGGCAGTTTAATTCTCAAAAAGGGAAAAACATTCTATTATCAATTTATTTAGTTTTGGAAATATACAACTTATCTTCCTGGAGGATTATTAAAATCGGTGTTACTTTTTTTGCAGGAACACTTCAAACAAAGTGACCTATCCTTTGTATTTCGTTTACAGGTAATATAAGAATTACCTTGCCCACGTTCTTTTACAATAACCTTTTCTGTGCTATTTTCCTTTTTAATTATTTATATTAACTCTTGCCTATTAAGTTCCTCATGGGATAGAACAAAACCCCATTGGACCTATAAACTAACAATGCAGATGAATGCAATGTTAAATTTTCTCTGCAGTCTTGGCATGTGCTTTGGGTGATTTGACTATAAAGTAATTTTTGAATCAATTATCTTTCATGTCCATAACTGAAGCTTCCATAGTTGTCTTGATCTAAGGAGATCACTGGATTTATTGTTATACACTAGTATTACAGGCATAAACAAGGGTGACACATGGGCTTGAACTCAATGACATATTGAGCATATTGTCAAAAGAGTGACACATGGGCTTGTAATCCACTTTTCCATGATGATATGGTGGGGGAGGGGGAAGAGTATTAGGTGAAATTAGATGATACACTCAATTGTCTATTTAATGTACCCCATGGTTATCTTCCAATCAAGCTTCACATTTGTACATTATGGAATGGAGGCATAATGTTATATGGTTCTGATAAGCTAAATTAATGGAGTTCATTGATGCCTGCGGAGGGCTAAACGATTGTGTATAGACACCATAAGGCAATTATCTATGACTTTGAGGTGGTTACCCAAGATGCTAGGATGGTGGTTGCAGAGTTAGTTGTTAAAGGTTGACTAGCTTTGTATAGGGCTAGTCATTTGAGGAGGAAGTTTACATGATCACTCTCCTTGGGTTTTCACTTTTAAGTTAAGAAGGGAAAGTTTGCAAGTTATGGAAAATTGGCAATTTATGGGCTCAAGTAATCATTTAGAGCTCAGTTTGAGAGGTTTAGTTAGGCAATATTGGTGGTTGGAACTCACACAGAGTTATGTAGGTCATACTATGTTTGTATGGAAAGTTGAATCATCTGCTATTGTCTTCATTGTGTTTGTAGATTATATAGTGGTAGTTGGTGATGCTAGTGAGTAGAAATAGATTATAGATGCTAAAGAGTCTGAAATTGGAAGCAGCCTCTCTGTATGTATAGGGGTAAGGCTGCACACATCTGTCCCTCCCCAGACCCTGCATTGGTGGGAGCCTTGTGCACTGGGCAGTCATTTTATGCCTAAGAGTCTGAGATTAAAGACATACCCTTTAGCATATTTCATGGGAACTGAAGTAGCATGATCCAAGGAAGGGCTGGGAGAAGAAAATAATGTACACAGAGTGGTCCGTTCTCAGCTAAGGAAACACATTAGGAAATAAGTAGATCTTTGTGGAGGGACAGAGAGAAAAGGCTAGGAATTCTGACTTCAGAAGGTAGCTCCACCATCTCAAATCATTCCAATAGCTAATTTTGCCACCATTGTGTCTTAGAAAAGAGGTTTGAACAAGCAAAAATAGCTTTCCAAGGAGATACTAGTGAAATCTTTACATTCAAATTGCAAACTTGCATTCCAACAAGTATTTATTAATCGATTATGCTTTTTATAATAGTGTTCTGTAATTGCTGTTTCTTATTGGGCTCTGGAGTGAGTTTTGTTTATTATTTGGTATTTTTCTTAGGGTCTAGCTTGTTTAATTCCTATTAGTCTTTCTTCTTTCTCCTTGTGGGTTGGGTGGGGAGTTTTTGTTTGTTCCCTTAAAAGTTCATTGTCAATTGAAAAAAGATTTCTAGTATCTTATAGCTATTGGGCTGTCAACATTTAGAGTTATCTAGCCATCCTTTCTAATCATAGGTACCCTGTGTAAGGGGGAGAGTTGAACTAGTCATAGAGACTAAATATTAATCATTTGAGCAAATGTAAGTCTTTGTTTTTTGAAGTATGTGATGTTTTCCCTGACTTCTTTTTGGTCCTTTTTGGGCTCTAAGGGTGTTGTTCGGTAATTAGGTTGTCACAAGGGTTGTGGATAGGGACCAACAAGTCTTTCTTTTGATCGAAGAAAGTACTGGGGGTCTAGGGTTGCCACATAGTTCTAAAGTGGCTTAACAAAGCCTAATGGAGAAACCTACCTATCAATTAAAAAATAAAAAAAAGCCTAAAGGAGAAACTGAGGGTGGATTTGAGCTGAGCTGAGTTGAATATCTAGCTATTTGAGCTCGGCTTGGCAGAAAAATATCAGGCTTGATTTTGGGCTCAAGCTCGATTCGAGCTAGAGGCATGAGCTTGAATTGGGCTCAACTCAAAAGCTTGTTTGTTCAAACTCGACTTTTGGCTTGAGCTCGATAGTGTGCCAAGCTTCACATAAAAATAAAAAATGAAAATTATATGTATATATAATTATACATATAAAAATTATTTATTGTTATATATAATTAAAAATATTATATATAGTATAAGCTCGATTAGGCTCGCGAGCCCCATGAACTGAGCTTCATTAGGCTCGAGCTCAACTCGATTAGAAAATGAGCCTACATTGTTGGGATCGAGCTTGGCTCGAAGCTCTGTTTAAATTGAGCCTAATTGAGCTTTTCATGAGCTGAGGTCGAATAGCTTGATTTGTGTCCACCCCTAGGAGAAACCAATGAACCAACATGGCACATTGAGGCAAATTTCTAGTTCTGTTTTCTTATGATCCTGAGATCTTATTATTTCAATAAATACCTAGTGTTATTTTTTCTTTCCATTTTATGTATTATGATCAGTTATATGAATTCATCTTTTGTGGTTATGATTTATAGTTTTCTTTTATTTATATGATCTGTTTGGTCTTTTCATGAAGCAATTCTTACTTCAAATCTTCTTTCCCTTAGGTGGCTGATGATTCTACCTTATACGGATGCTGTGTGCTAGTTGAAGAACTTGTGCAGAGACCTTCAGGGCTGGTTTCTATGATTTCTGACAAGCAAACTTTCTCATTGTGTTTAAGCCGTCATATCTTGACGACCACTCGTTGTTATTGCATTCTGTCAAGGCTTCCGTTCTTTGATTTGCATTTTGGCGTACTAAATAGGTGCGCTAATTGTTCCTTAAGAAATTCTGCTGATCAATGCTAGTTTTCTTATAGAAATCTTTTCTCATTCTACTTTCTCTAAGATCTTTTAAGAGTATTTCCTATGATAAATACCATGACTTCTTCCTTTTTTAACAAGAAAAAAAAGAATTCTTGTATGGGAATAGTAGGAGAATCAAGGCACAAGTGGCAGGTGAATAAACCTTAATGAGATAGAGAGACTTCTAGATATAAGCCTAAATATATATTTTGATCAATAATATTGTTTCACATCAGCAAATGAAAGTAAAAAGTAGAAATCTATAACAAGGAATAGCTGAGAAGGTAATTCCTGTCCTCTTTATGATCTTGTCACTAATCAGGAAAAAAAAAGAAAAGGTAAGGTAGACAAAGGCTGGCTCACCAACAAGTACCAAAAGACTAGCTTCTCATGGCTGGTCCATAATATAGACCTTTTTGATTTACACCTTTTGTTATGGAGTCTGCAGTTGATTTTGCTGATCTGAAGTCTGATTCCATTTGAATGAGTTTTCCATTCCTTATTTTTGGAGGTAATGAGTTTCCATTCTTGATACTCAAGATCTGCCTCGATAGAACCTAATGTAGTGTCTTAAGGCCTCAGGGCCCTCTCCACCCTCTATTGTCCATCTGAATGATACTCGGCAATCACCTCACACCTCCAAAGATAATGCCACCAAGTGCAGATGGTTACTTCAATTTTTGTATATGTCATTGTGTCTCGCTCTCAATCGAATCCTTATTAGCAAAGGAACTTGAGTAAAATATAAGCATGTTGCCTTCGTGGTTTCTTAAGGCTCCCTCCACACCTGAGGTCTTTGGTTCTGGATAGAACATCCACTATAGTCAAGCTTCATGGAGCCTAAGGGACGCACAAACCACTTTTGTGGGCCACCTCTCTCGTGTTGGAAATGGGGGCGCAATGTGCCAGTATCTCAATGTCATGTGAATTCTTCTCTTATGTAGAGCTAATATGCTCTTATTCAGTCATCAGCCATAACTTTTCAACTTTGCTTCTTATGCCAAAAAATCCTAACAGTCCTCTCTTCCCATATGAACCATGTCACTATTGCTTTTAAACATCTAGCTGCCATCTTCCCTAACATTATTCTTTGGGAGAAGAATGAATGGCTGAAAATTCTCTTTAGATTGGTAGGCTGTGCCAACTTGGCACTAAACAAAGAAAAAGGGATGCTCACCAATGACATAAGAACTAGGGGTGGATTTGAGCCGAGTTGAGCCGAATATCTAGCTATTCGAGCTTGGCCCGCCAATAGACAATGAGGCTTGAGCTCGAGCTTAATTTGAGCTAGAGACTTGAGCTCAAATTCATCTCGAGTCAAAAGCTCTTAAATTCAAGGTCGACTCGGCTTGAGCTTGATTGTGAGCCAAACATTTTATAAAAATAAAAAAATTATTGTTATTTGACAAATAAAAATTAAGAATTATAAAAACTAGTTAATATATATATATATATATATATACATGTATGTATCTATACATAGTTGTCAAGGTGACTAGGCGAGGCTAGGCGACCATGGGGCGCCTAGGCGATGGAATCTATAAATATAAAATCTATAGATTTCAGCCATATAATCATATTCATATATATATTAATGATAGGTTCGGCTGTTAAAAACTGAAGTGAGAAGTGAGAACAATGACTGAATTAGTGAAGGGAGTATAGGAGTATAGGGCGGAGCCCCCGTTTTTTCAAAAAAAGAAAAAGCAAAAAAATGAACTCATGGGGTGGATGACCGGCGATTGAGAGTGACTACTGACGACTGAAAACAGTTATGGACTCATGGGGCAGAAGAAGAAGAAGAAGATGATGAGTGGAGAAAGGGAGGACTGGGGAGTACAGGGGCGGAGCCCCTGTTTTTTCAAAAAAAAATGAAAAAATGTCTGAGCTGAGAAGAGAGAACTCAGGACTGATTCGACTGAAATCTGGAAAAATAAAAATATCAATAAATTAAAAAAAATAAATTTTAGGTGAATGTGGGCGCCTGCCTTGTATGTAGGCGCCCGCTTAAGTCTCTGGGGGGGCGCCTAATAGGCAAAACTTGTGGCATTTGGGCGAGCCGACCATGAAAAACCGCCTAGTCGCCTAGGCGAATCCTAGGCTATATATATATATATATTTGCTTGTATACATGTATATATGTAAAAGCTCAATTAGGCTCGCAAGCCACACAAGCCGAGCTTGATTGGGCTTGAGCTCGGCTCGTTAGAAAATGAGCCTATATATTGGGCTCGAGCTCGGCTTGAAGCTCAGTTTAGACCGAGCTGAATTGAGCTTTTCACAAGCCGAGCTTGAATAGCTCGTGAAGAGCTTGGCTCGTGGCAACCCCTAATAAGAACAAGAGATTAGTAAGTAAAAGATGTTCTCACTGCTTGTCTTGCGAAGGGGAGCAGATATTGGTGAATGGGATCAGATGGTATTCCTATTTTGAAGAACATAATGAGTGTTAATTTTCAGGTGCATCACCTCACAAGTGAGAGTTACCAGGTGTTTTTTCTGTTTGTTCTCCTTTGGTGTTTGTGGTCAAAGAAATTTGGAGGGACAACCATCTATCCTGGTTAGGGATGCAAGCAGGTACTTGACTTGAAGAATTTGCATTGCATTGGGCTTGGGTCTTCAAGCCTGGCCCATTCAAATTTTAACTAATGGTCAATCAAGTCCACCCAAGTTGCAGCTCTAATCCTAGTGTGTCAAAGGCCATTACCGAATGTTGGTCCCAGCTATCTGGGGTCTTGGGAGAGGTAGACTGGATATGGTCCTAACCTTGGGCATTTTTTGCACAAAGTGGACACTCTTGGACTTGAACCTGCATTCTCACACTTGTCAGCCTGAGATTTTACCATTACACCAAGTAATGGCCCCTTGCAGGGAGAATATTAAAAGTGTTCTCTGGAGTTGCTTGAAACTGAGAGAAGCTGGTGCGGATTTGGGGATGGCTTTTTGGAGTCTTGGTGGTGGGAACACACAAGCATGGTCTCTTTATGTTATTTAAAATACTTAAAATGCATATATTGCTTAACCTGACAATGATTTTTTTTTTTTTTTGAGAACACAACCTGACTATAATATTTAACTTCTTTTCATCAGTACAATCTGAATGTGCAGAAGTAACTAAAATATGTGATAAACAACACTTAAGCCTGAATATAAAGTAAAGATGCATCTGTATATCTTCTGGGTAATCTTTAAATTTGAGCATCCAAACTCTCTTATTAGTAGTTCTTGTTTCTTTAGGACTTACAACTATCCAACTTCCATTTTATTTTATTTTTCGTTCTTGAGATATTTGTGTTTTCCTGTAGCATCTTCACTGAAGAAAGGTTGGAACGGTTAACAAAAAGTATTGGTATATTAGATTTGGAATCATTGGGGACTTTCGGCAAAGAAGACTCACAGAAAAAGCCTGACAAAAACTTGCCAAAGGACAACCATGTGGAGGACATTCCAAATGGACCAACTGACACTTCTGAAATAAGTACTGGAGGTTCTACTTCTAGCAAAACTGCAGAGGATGGGAAATATTTGGAGCATCAAATCCTTGAAGGGCAGAATGACTTATTGAGTGAAGGAGTCCATTTTGATGCTGTTTTCCCAATAAATTCTGAAGCGGTGATGTTTATACCTGAAGAGAGACAAGTTGTTGAAATGCAGATCTCTGATGTTCATACTATCTCCATTGCTGAATCCATGAGAGATGAGCAAAATATTGAAAGGCATTTACCAGAGGCTGTTCTGCCACTTCTGCGTTTTCATCAATATGAAAGCTCTGAATCTTTCATCAGGTATATAATTTCTCTGTTGTTGGTGTAATTGAACTAGTGCTTCTAGTTTGTGTATTCTGAGATTTTACTGGTGGGGAAATTTCATCATGAAATTGAAATTTCAGTGATAATGAAAGCTGTGTTTCGATGATGATGTAGAAATGCTTTCTAGTGCATTTTTCATGCTGAAGCTGGCCTGCTGGTAGGGTGGTGATTCTTGAACCAATCTTGTGGCACATCCCCAGCCCTCTTTCCCCTTCTTTCTGAAATTGGTTGTGTGATGTATTAAAACTTCTGATTCTCATGATCTAGATGCCATTATCTGCCTGTACCTGCCTTCAGGCCAACCAAATCCAACTCAATTAAGATTCTATCTGGTTTCAAGCATGTAATAAACTATTTTACATGGATTCAGGTGTGGGAATGACGGAATGTATCTAGGAGTTGGATTTGTCTGAAGGATATGGAGACTTGGATAAAACTAATCTTCAAATTAGTACTAACATACAAACACGCCATACATTGGATGATAAATATTAATTGTCAATCATGTAAATAACCTGTTTTTAATTTAGATACATTTGATTATTGACATCCAGAGAAGAAAAAGTAACGACATTGGAAAGATGACAAATCGAATTGTAACATGACAGTTAAATTGTAAAATGAGGGCCTTTTTATGGGCTGGTTGGAGGAACTGATTCAAATTCAACTCGGTGAATTGGAAAACAGTGCGTCAACCAAGGAAAGTTGGTGGTCTAGGCGTCAGAAATATTAAATTTGTTAAACAAGACCCTACTTGGTAAATGGTGCTGGAGATTCAGTAAAGAAAGAAGCAGCCTCTGGAGAAGGATCATTGTGAATAATTATGGGTTGTTTATTCATCAAAAAATAATTATGGGTTGACAAGCCTTGATTGGGATTCGGTCCTTTCTCCAAGGGGGTATGCTCTTTGGAGCCATATTGTTACTGTTCTTCCTGATTTCTTGAAGGACATCAGGTACAAGGTTGGTGTAGGAAACTGTGAACCCCACATTAAGTGTATTCGTGTGACACCCTGAGATGTACTTGGATTTAAATTGATTAGGATCAGCTTTCCTAGTAGGATTGGTTTTATTCTTTCTTATCTAGGATTAGTTTTATTTTAATCTTATCTTTTATTGCCATGAAAGCATTAAAGTTCTTTTACAATTAGGAAACTATGTATATAAATTAAGGAGTGGGGTGGCTGTTTTAAACACACCAACCACTCTCTTCTTTCTAAAACCTCTCCACGAGTTCTCCCTCTTCATCTCTCTTCTTTTTCTTCTCATCTTCTCTCTTCCTTTCTTTATTTTCTGTTCAAAACCTAAGAGATATTTGTAGTCTTGTACGACTACTGTTGGCAAAGCCAATCATATCAAATTCTGGCATGATAAATGATATGGGGATTTTGCTCTGTGTGAAAGGGTTCCCTCTCCTTTTGATATTGCCCAAGATAAGGAAGCTGTAGTTGAAGATTGCTTTGATTTGGTGAATGGTGAAGTGATTTGGGGTCCTACTTTTAGAAGGAATCTCAATGATTGGGAAATCAATCACTGTCTGAGTTGTTAAGCCTCATTTAAAGTATAAAGCCTAACCCTCAAACTGATGATGAAAAAATTTGGTCTTGGGAGACTTCAGGCAAGTATTCAACTCAGCGGACATGACCAATCTGGTGTACTTCTCTCATGTTGATGCCACTATACACCAATCTCTAGGATGCCATCCATGGTGACCGTAGAAAACTCCTTCCTGGTCTTCACCCAATAAATTATTATGATCTTTATCAAACTTATTATGTTCACCAATTGAGACTTATTAAGAAATGCCTTGTGTTTTCATTTGTCCCATATGGTCCATAGAGTTGCTGCCTGCATGCATCTTCAAAGGATATCCTACCTTTTACTCCTAAGGCAGAACATAGAAGGTTGAAAAGAATAAGCCTCTGTCTTCTGAAGGATTCCATCTAGTACTGAATAGAGCGAAGAAATGTTCCCAAATACTGGTAGATACAGAACAGGGTATCAGTAAGTGTAAGCTTGTTGCACAACTTGCTTTGTGATCACTTACAAATCCGAGTTTTGTTAAGAACAACTTGCCTTTGTGCTTAAAATTTGGGAGTTTTTCAGTTCTCTATTTGGGTGCAGGTGCCCCCTTCCCTCCCTTGAGGCAACCAAAGAAAAGGAGGAAAGTGCTTTGGAGGGCTACTAAGGCAGCAATTTGTTGGGTGGTGTGGGAAGAGAGGAATATTAGAATCTTCTTGGAGAAGAGTAGGACCTTGTTGGAAGTGATAGACAGTATAAAAATAATGGTAGCCTTTTGGGCAAAGACATTAGACATCTTCAAAACCTTCTCAGTAACAGACTTATCAAGGGCCTGGACTGAAATAGCACATTCATCAAGAGTAAAAGACAGTTTGTATGGAGTGAAAACCCCCAACAGGTAATAAAGTAAAACCAAATTTTGATGGGAGTTCCCTTGGAAACCTGGGTATGGATGGAATAGGAGGGGACTGAGGGGTCATCAGAAACTCAGAGAGGAGGATTGTGGCAATGTTTTGGGGGCCAATTAATTTGGGAAACTCTTTGAAGGCTGAACTGTTGGCTCTTTCGCAAGGTCTTAAGCTAGCTAAACAGCTCAGTTTTAGAATTATTGAGGTGGAAGGAGACTCGCAAGTGGTCATCTCATGGGCAAAATCTAACCCTTGGACCCTACAACACATGCTAAGAGAAATGGAAAAGCTTGCAAGAGAATTAGAGGTTGAATTCAAATGGATTAGTAGGAATGCAAATGGGTTAGTTGACTCCTTAGCAAAACAAGGAGTTATAAGGCAAGAATTGCTTTGGGCATCCATGTTGCTTGGGTTAAAAAGGGATTGATACTACAGAGAATATTGTTCATTCATCGTAATAAATATCTTCTTAGAAAGCAATTAAAATTATAAAATCATTATTTTTTATATGAGAATTAGGAATTTAAGGCTCTAACATGGACTTGTTTGGGCTTGCCTCGAGGGGCGTGGCATGGGGTCCGGGGGTGGAGCCCTCGGCTCAATCGCTAGGTTAAAAAAAGCATCAAATTTTCAAAAGGCACACACCTGGGTTGAGGTGCAAGGTCTTTTGAAAGGGCTGCGCCTAGGACCTAGGCAAGGCGCATACCCTAACATGCGCCTCACTTGTGCACCTAGGCGCGCCTTTTAAATCAATGGTTGATTAGATTTGTTTTACATTATCAATCATTCCATTTTTTGGTTAAAAAAAATAAAAAAGTCAAAATAATTGTGACTTTGTCCATAGGATATGGTTACCTGTATAAGTGCTTAAATGTTTATCCTAGAACATTCAAGTTGTTTTGTTGCTTGGCCAGGGGAGGAAGTAGGAACTATGATGATTGAATTGCCTTGTTGGGGGGTCATTGCTATAGCCCTATGCATCACAAGGACCTAGATGTGTGACTTGAAGTATACACTTCATTTGATTCTATCTTTTCTAGTTTTAGTGTTTTCCATTCATCTGATTCTATCCTTTCTAGTTTTTGGCCATGTTTGGGAGTGCTTATTTTAAAAATAAGTGCTTAAAACAAGTGCTTATTTGAATAGCACTTATTTGCATTTGGCACCCAAACTTTATCAAGTGCTTATTTAAAAAAAATAAACACTTATTTTATATTTGGCGTTTGGCAGTCTTTTTCTCCAATAAGCACTTAAATAAGCATTTTGACTATTTTATCCTTCATTTTCTTTCAAATTTTACAAAAGCACTTTTTTAAAAGTACTTTACAAAAGCACTTTTTTAAAAGTACTTTTATAGAATCACTTTTACGAAAGCACTTTTATAAAAGCACTTTTATGAAAGTATTTTTATAAAAGCACTTTTACGGAAGCACTTTTATGAAAGCACTTTTACAAAATTCAACTAGGGATAGTTTCATAAGCACTTTATCGTAAGTGCTTATTGTATAAGCACTTTAAAAAAGCAGGAAATTTGGGCTTAAAAAATAAGCCCTTATTTTTAAAATAAACATTTATTTCAGGCCTTTATCCCAAACACCAATAAGTGCTTAATGGTGTGGTCCCAGCCCAAATAAGCACTCCCAAACATGGCCTTAGTGTTCTATATTCATCCATTTTAACATGTATATCTCTGTCAGGTTCGGAGACTTGGAGGAAGCAAATTTGCTTCCCTTTCATTTTTGCTTTTTTTTGAGAAGGCCTAACTTAAGCTTAAGTTTGATGGGTTACTTCAAACTCAAGTTTAGTGGTAGTAGTGTGGGTAATCCAGGGCCCTCCGGAATAGGGGGAGTCATGAGGGATGAAAAAGGGAACGTGATTGCTATGTTCTCTGGCTCAATGGGAATCGGGGGCTCATTGAGGGCTGAGATTTTAGCAGCTTTGGAAGGGGTTCAAAGGGATGAAGATCTGCACATAAACAAACTGTTCATAGAAGGTGACTCCGAGATTGTAGTGAGCTGGTTAAATGAAGACAATTCAAAACTCTGGAGCTACAGCAATGAATAGAGGAAATTTAACTGGCTGACCAAGGACATGGAAGTTCGATGCACTTGGGTAAAGAGAAGTGCGAATGCTTTTGCAGATGGTTTAGCTAGGCAAGGGGTGAATAGGAATTTGGTTTTTTGGGACCAATTGTAATTGTTCTTGTATTTTGTGTGTCTAGTGACAGCTATGGGGAGTTAAAATAATTTAACTCCCCTTATTGATAAAAAAAATGATTTAACTCCCCTTCCTTGTATTATTTTCCCTAATCTTTTAATGAAATCTCTGTTGTTGATAAAAAAAAAATGGGCACTTAAGGGATGGGAGGAGTAATAAGGGATGAAGAGGGGAATGTAAAAGCAATATACTTTGGATCAATTTAAGGAAGGAGATTCTATAAGGGCTAAGTGGTTGGTGGTTCTGCAGAGGGGTTTAACTAGCTCATGACATGAATGTTGAGAAACTAGTTATTGAGGGAGACTTTAAGGTGGTCCTGGTTGAGGAATGGGGAGATGGCCATGTGGATATTTGGAAATGAGGTGAGAAAATAGAGATGGCTAATAAGAAACATGCATATGAAAATTCTTTGAACCCCTCAGGGCTGAAGTTTTAGCTCTCCAGCTCCAAGGGCTGAGATTGGCGAAACAACTGGGCCTCCAACAGATTGAAGTGGAGGGGGGACTCAAAACTGGTGATAGGGTGGTTACTAACAGGAATCATGAGAATTTTGGTCCACAGGCAGGCCTTGAGGGAGATTAGAAGCTTGTCAAGGGAGCTAGGTGCAACTGTAAGATGGGTTAGAAGATCAACAAATGGTTCGGGCTGTTCGGTTGATACACTGGCCAAACAAGAGACATTTAGGGGTGATTTGTTTAGGGCTGCATTGTAATTAATCCATTTGAGGGGTTAGTCCCTTTTTATGGGGACCAACCTGAGTATTCTCTTAATCTATCTTAATAAAAGTTACCGTTTCCTATTAAAAAAAATCTTTGGACCCCAAGATTGGCTAACACTTAGGCAGATTGTTTAGCTAAGCAAGGGGTGAACAGAAACCACTTGTTTTGGGCAAAGTTGTAAATTTTACCTGTAAATATTGGGGCGGGAGGGATAGCGTAGCTATGCTCTCAGCTTTTTACTATAACTTTGTGTTTTTAATAAAATTGATTTCATTTATTGCTGATAAAAAAAAAGGAGCACATAAGCTATTGGAGGAAGCTCTTCTAGTGGGGCACTTGCATAATGCAGCAGTCACACTATGAAGGCTACCTTGGAGGGAGTTGATGGGGGGGGGCGGGGATCTGCTTTCTTTACCTCATAGGTTCTCATTATCTGTCTTTTTGGGCTGTCAGGCCTTCATTACATCTTTGGGCTGGGGCTGCCTTTGGCACATTTTTTGGTTGCTGGTGGCTTCTATCTTGCACTTCATTATGTACATGTATTCATGCATTTGTACATGCATGCGCATCCATGTGTAAGTTGCAACATACCTACATGAAGAAAAAAAATGACATAATGCCTACATGATGGAAAAATAACTATGAAAGTGGGAAAATTAGATATGGTTTAGAGCTAGTTTAATTTTTGATTGATCATAAAGGGAACTTATCTGTTTTTGCATCTTTTGTACCTTATTGGATTAACTCAACTCAACTCAGCCTTAATCCCAACTTTTTAGTGTTGACTACATGAATCCTGTTGTGCTCTATCAAGAACCATGTTTTCTGTAATACATGTATGATTTACTGAGCAATATGACCTACAAATATTTATATTCTTAATCTGTGCATAAGTTGTTGGAACCATAACATTAGATATAAAACATAATATTAGAAATATTTTATATCTTCCATGCAAAATATTTGCATGAATACAGTAATGTCATGACACAATCCAAGTATGATAGAAAGTATGCATCGTTGACCTGTTTTATAACTCTTTCTTGGCTGTGTTTGACCTTCTCTGTATACCTGGCTTTTACACCATTCTCTTTTAATAAAATTTTCAGTTATTCATTAGAAAACATATAGATTTGATAGCCTATGCTGTATCCCATGTCATTCAAATTTTGGATACTTCTTTTTTCAAGAGTTCATTTGATAAACTATAATTCCCTCATATATATACAAGTAACAAGTTTTTTTTTTTTTCCATCTGTGTGTTTGTGTGAAAAGAAGGTAGTTTTATTCCTGAAATAAAACATACAACCGGGAGGCACCAGGACAAACCTCCCCAGAAAATACAACTTCAAGTGTCCCATAGACTAAATAAATCTAGAATAAAAAACATGTTCTGATTACTAAACTCAGGCAGGACCAATAACCAAGAAGCTAACCTAGCAACAATAGAATGGATCAACATCTCAGGACTTTTAAATTGATTTCTCAAGACTCTCTTATTCCTTTCTGACCAAATGGCACTGATCACTGCTGCTGGAATAGACCTCCAAATGTGTTTGCCTCTTTTAGATAAGCCCAGAAAATACCAGCTTTGTAACAGTGCCTGTATTGATCCTGGCATCACCCAGCAAATACCCACTGTTTGTAAGAAATGTGACCATATCCTCCAGGCAACTGTGCAATGAATGCATAGATGATCAATGGATTCCTCCTCATGCCCACAGATCCCACAGCTCAAGTCTTCTAAGTATATTCTTCATCTTACCAGGTTTCTTCTTGTTAGACATATCCCCAAAGCTGAAGCCCAAACTAAGAAATTGACTTTGGAGGGAGATGAAGGGATCCAGACTTGATTAGCTGGAAAACCTGAATCTGTTCTAATTCTTAAACCATCTGCAAAGGATTTAACCGAAAACTTCCCATCATCCCTCCATTTCCAGGTCCATTGATCACTCGACTGAGGATCAATACAGGCACTGTTACAAGTTTAACTTGTCTTGTTACCAAAAAAAAATTCAACTTGTCTACATGTTGGATACTTCCTGAGGGAAGAGTTATGGAACACAAGTAATGTACATGTCTACGTATATATGAAATGCAGGTGCATTTAGAGGTGATTTATATTACTATTCTGGAGTTGGTGTGATTGTTAAGGCCCTATATACTGTTTATTTATGCAGTTTCCAGGGTTCACCTTGTGAAGGTAGGAACTTTAGGAGTGAAGGGGATCAAGAGGACATTGAAGAGGCTTCTTCCTCTGGCCAGGAAGATTCAAGTGATCACAATGAGATTCTTGAGTGGGCAAAGGTTTGATGTTTAATTGTTTCCATCAGTCTTGTCAGACTTGGACTGGTCATAGAACTGTTTTGGTTACTGATTTTGGGTTGAGCAGTTCAACTGTCTGGTCTGACTGACCATTCAGCATGCTCAAATAAAAAATGCAAAAAAAAAAGGTTCTAGATGATCTTTTAAAGCCATTTAATCACTCAAACTACAAATATTAAAGGTTACAATACCTAATTGGCAAGTACATTTTGGGTATGCTTGAGCTTGACCAAGTCAACATTAAGAAGCTGGTAACCAAAACTGTTTTGACTGGCGATTCCTGGTTCAAGTGGTCCAACCATCCACTCCAGTTCAAGTCTGATAACACTGGTTTCCATGCATTGCTGTGTCTTGAAAGCTGCTAAGGTGCAGCACTTGTTGTACCTTTAAATCCTGATAAGTTTCATTTTTTTTGAAAAAGATAAATTTATTTGTTTCATTTTCAGGCAAATAATCATGGGTCCTTGCAAATAATATGTGAATATTATGGCTTACGCTGCCCTGCTAGAGGCACAACACTTACATTCCGCCATCTGGATCACCTGCATCCTTTGGAATTTCACAGACCTTGTGAAACAGTTCTGCACATTGCCAGCTCAACTATTGATTTAAGATCCTGCAGCACAAGCTTGGAATTAGCAGAGGTAGATTGCAAATTACAACTATCTAGGATGGATTTTCTAACTCATGTTTCAAAACATGTTCTGTTGATGTTAATTGATTTCATTTCACTTTGTTTCTCTTTTCTGTTTTCTCTGTTTGTTCCAATTGAAAGATATCTCTAGTATCTTAACAATCTTAGATTTATCAGGCACACACTGCACTTTTGGCAGAAGAGGAAGCAACTGCTTTATCCGTCTGGACTGTTGCATGTGTATGTGGCTCCTTGCGGCTTGAAAATGTGAGTTTGTGCATCAAAAAGAATGTTTCTATGTCTAAATGATGGGAGTAGCTTATTTCCTTCCTTCGTGTTCAGGCCTTTATTTCTGTTGGTTTGTTCTTTATCTGTGAAATCAGTTTACCAACCATATCCTAGAAGACAGCCTGAATTCTCAAACAAGGACATTTATTGAGTTATTTTTTTGGTTGCCAAGACATTTATTGAGTTATTATCTGATGGAATAATAACTATGAATTCATTTCTTTATGTTACCTCTGGCTAGAAAGGTGGAAATATTTTCACTGGAATTGTTTGTAGCTGATAACCAAGCATTAAATAGACTTGTTGCTCTCCTTATGACCTCATTTATTGGGATGATTTGTTGTAAAAAATTCTGGAATTTCCTTCCTTCCATAATTTCCAAATTATAGCGTCCAGAACTTCTCTCCAAACTGACATTCCTTCTTATTGAGGCCACTAAGAATGATCTCTCCAGAGCTTCCCTAGCAGATCTTGCTAAGATCAAACTAGCGTTCGATACATAAAGAAAGCCCAGATCTTCAAGCTGAAAGGACAATGGATGAAGAGGTGGTTGGTAGATTCCCAGTTGCAGTCACAAAACATGCAAAAAGTGGATGGAACATCCAGACCACTTTTTTTTCAATAAAAAAAAATCCTGACTTCTTTTTATGAAATTCTCCTTTAGAAGATTTTTTTTTTCAAGACCACTGTCCAGATCGTGAAGGAAAATTTTGATGGTTCCACCAGATTCCAAGCAGTTCTTATAGGGACGAGAGTGCTGCTTGGTTAAGCAACCTACTTGTGCAAGACTTGACAGAGGGAATGCCCTACTTTCCCACTTCAAAATCCTTCTGATCACACTAATTGAGACATGGGCTGTGACTTGAAGTAACTCCAGTAGTGCTGTCACCTCCTTGAGCTCTCAGTCATTAATATTCCTCCAAAAAATAGATACACATATCACCTTATTCTCAATAATTTTATAATTATTCCTTTGCAGATAGGTTAGATCGGCAAGGAGTGAATAGGGATTCAGTTTTCTGGGCTCTTTTGTAACTGCTTTTTTCTTTCTTTTTGGGTGTCTTTTGGCATCCTTGGGGAGTTAAGATAGATTATCTCCCCTCCCATGTAATTAAAATTTTTCTTTTAATGAAAAGTTCCTGTTATTGATAAAAAACATGTTACCCTTTGAAAAAAAAAAGATGGGAAACATGTTGGGAATGTTTGGAAATGTCATATGGACATATTATACAAATTTTAGACATGGTAGAAACATTGTGAAATATGCAAAAAATAGAATGCTATTTTATGTAATGATAAAAGATGCATTGGTTGACCTTTTATTATTATTATCTTGTTCAAAATCATCAAACAAAGCTAAAAAACTAAGATTAAAAGGTAAAATAATATGCCTTGGTGTTTTGTAAATTTCAAGAGTCAAAACAACATGATAGAGTGAGTTTAAGCAAAATCTAAACTCATGGAAAGTGCCATTGGTTCTAATAGAGCAACTATATAATTAATATACAACAAAAAAGTGGTAATCATGTCCATCAGATGGATCAGACGGGCAATGACTCCTGCTCAGAATTATCTAAAATATTGTTGCCAACTTATGTTATAATACTATCTCTTGTACTCCACATAGCACTAGTAGTTTTCATTGGGGAATATGTTGATTGTAGTAATATTTTGTGTTGGTATCCGTGGAAATGAAAATATGTAATGGAAATATTAGGATATGTAATTTTTTAAACCATGCACTGGCCATACTATAATTAGGGCTAGCTATGTTGTATGCACAAGAGTATTGGGCAATTAAAAATAGTATGTCTAAAAATGAGTGTGGTGAAAATGTGAATGCTTAGATGGACAAGAAGTTAAATTAGAAAGGACAGGTTTAGAGATTAAATCATACAAAAGAACCTAGGAGTGGCTCCAATAGGTGATAACATGAGAGAAAGTATATTGAGATGGTATGGTCATTTGCATAGACGACCATATACAACAACTGTTTTTTTTTTGATGAATGAAGATAATTTATTAATTCAGAAAAAAAGGCAACACAGGAAACCCAAGAAGAGGCATGAGCTCTTACCTCTTCAAAAAGTATTACATCAAATTAAAAACAGAAATAGCCAGTAGTAAAGTTACAGAGCAGCCCAAAATAAATGTTCCCTTGAAGCCCCATGCTTAGCTAACCATATACAACAACTGTTAGAAAAAGTTATTTGTTGCAAGTTGAAAAAGCTAGAAGAGTTGGGGGCAGACCGAAAAGGACTTGGGTGGAAGTAATAAGAAATGATTTGAGTGCCCTTAGTTTAACGATGGATATGGTACTGAATAGAACAGAATGGTGAAATAGGATTCATGTAGCCAACCCCATATTATGATGATGTTATCTTATGGGGGCTTCCGACACTGGCCAAAAAGTTAAATGAAATGGCATATCACATTGTAGGGAAGTGGACAATGGAGGAGGAGATGTGCCACCTATTCCTCATTAATGTTTCAAATGGAACAGACATTCGATTTAAGTGGACTAGAAGGTGTGCAAATGGTTTAACTGACTCCCTAGATAAACAAGAGACTACGAGGCAGCATCTGTTTTGGGCATCCATATAATTTGGAATAGTAAAGTGGGACTGAGACTCTGATTAAAAAGTTGTAGCAATCATTTATTCATTCCAAATTTTAATAAAACCACCTTTCTACTGATAAAAAAAATAGAACAGACATTATGGATATCCCTCCCTTCAGTCCGTAGTCTCTGGTAAGGATTTTATCCAAGATAGTTCACATGGAAAAAACACACCTTGATGGGAGATCGGGCCCTCAAATCCATCTTGATGGGAATGAGACCTCCCTCACCTCCTAAGAGAGAGATATAAAGATTTGATCCAGTTCCAATGTTTTAAAAAGCATGCATAGGCTCATAGCAATTAGAAAACAGGGCTAAGCCCTCATTATTATTTTTTGTCTTATATGGTGGTATCACTCTAAATATTTTGATGCTTAATAGCAATTATAAAACAGGGCTGAGCTCTTCACACGTTTCATGACCTTTGTATGTGGGATACCATTTACTGCAGGGAGAGGCGGCAATGTAGCTGGAAAAGATTCCATTTATTGAACTCTCATTAATGACCGTACACCCATTTTATTGCTAGTATATACATTAGATGCTGAACTTTGAAGCTTGAAACCTGTCTCTCTAATATGAATATCCGGAAGATCTATTATCTATCAAAAAAAGAAAAAATATCTGAAAGTTCTATATGAAAGCTTCATTGGCTATGGTGTAGTGATTCTCTTTGCATATTTCAGGTGTTAACAATGTTTGCTGGGGCACTTTTGGAGAAGCAAATTGTGGTCGTTTGCTCTAATTTGGTAGCCATCATTTCTCGTAGTACAAATTGGTTACTTAGAAATAGAAATTGCTTACAACACTTGTTTTTTTTTTTTTTAACTTAAGATTTATATTTTTTCCAGCTCATTGTGTCTAGAATTTTATAATAAATTTGCTATCATATGGAGTCTAATGCATTTGATTTACAGGGTATTCTGTCATCTATAGTTTTGTCGATTATTCCACTAATTCGTCCGTACCAGTGGCAGAGCCTTTTGATGCCAGTATGTACCCTCCCAATTTGGAGAATCTGGATTTGTGAATTTTAGTATTCGCTTCACCTTTGAATTATTCTTTGATGTTCAGCTTGTTTGAATTTTAATATTCAATGGATCATTGTATGACCTGCTAGGTTTTGCCAAATGACATGCTGGATTTTTTGGATGCGCCTGTCCCTTATGTGGTGAGTTTCCAAAGTATCACACCTTTGTTATCAACTTCTGTGAACTGTATGATATCCAGTATAGTTAAAATTGTTGCATAGGGTATAGGTAATTTTATAGGCGTTTTGGGCACATTGCCTGGGAAACCATTCAGACAGGCAGTGTGAATACAAACATTTAAGTGGGTAAAAATAAGTAATTTCAATCCTGTTATGTATTGATATAAGGGTGCAACTTATTTTGGGTCAACTTGAATGCATGAAAAAAAGTGACATGTCTTTATCTCTTTGTGCATATGTTCTCTTCCATTGATTAAAGGATGCTATTCAAAAATGTTGTCAGTTTTTTTTTTCCAGAAAACAAGGTGTAAGTTCTCGCTTAATCATTTACTGGTTTAGTTTGTAATTAAAAGTTTTTAATTAACATGCAACTGGATATTTTTTTCTTTGATCTGTAATTGAACTCTAATTAATATATTGGTATATGTTAATAAATTCTTTGGTTACTCATTAAGTATTTATATCATAGAAGTTGTATATATATATATTTATTGTTTGTTTGTTTGTTGCCTAGGCTATGGGTAGTTGTCACTCGGGCATTAACTAGCATTGCCAGGTCAAAACACCTTGACATTGCCTGGTTGCATTAACTACACGTAAGAATTAAGATATCTACAATATTTGGTCATTTGTCATAGTTGTTGGTGACTTGGTGTATTTTTTTTTTGATAAATTTGGTGACTTGGTGTATCTGACAAAGGGTAACTCTTTGAAAAACTACAAGTATGAACTGTAGAAAATGTGTAAATGTGTACCTTTAAATATTCTAGAATGCATTTTTTTTTGTCTTTAACTAACCAGTGGAAAAAGCATCTATGACAATTTTGACAAGTATTTATACACATCCTTCATAATAGCAGGAAACAATAAGCTAAATGGGTGTGGTGACTGATCTTAAACCTATACTCTATGAAGACTTAAATTTCTCTTACATGTGTTCAATGGAGAGAAGCAATTTATCACTTCACATTGTTGAGTACTTGAAGTTCCTTATGACCACACAGTAGAAATATGTCTGAAAAAGTAGGGCACCTTTTGTATGTTCGTTCAATTCTGTATCTGATTCTTTAGTTACATAAGCCATTTTTTAATTTTTTTTGTAGGTTGGCGTGAAGAATAAAACTGCTGAAGTTCAAACAAAGTTGGCAAATGTCATACTGGTTGATGCCAATAAGAATCAGGTCTGCATCTATTCCCCCCCCCAAGTGGTGCATCTCTACCGATTTTTGAGCATAACTAAATGTGATTATTTCTTTAGCACTCTTTTATTTATCCTCTTCAATTTGTTTTGGAGTAAGGCCATTTTGACAATTCTTGAAATAAATTCGATTTCATTTTATAATATTGTTCTATTCTTATTTATTTTTTCAATATGAAATTGAAACTGGCTTGCTTTATTTATTTTGAAAGTTGATGAAGCTTTTGAATATCTTCTTTGTCCTTCCTCTAACAAATCCAATTCTGAAGCATAAATCCCTGATTGCCTTAATTATGTTAGGGCTCTAAAACATCAACAACAACAACAACAACAATATATATATATATATATATATATATATACACACACACACACACTCACCATCAGCCTCATCACCATTGTCTGGATTAATGGAGCACCATGTACATGTGCTCCACTATTCCAGTGGCAGGGGTGTGTGCTTAATTGTCCAAGGTCATCTCCTGAGGATATCAGCAGCTTTATGTCTAAAAGGAAAAATGAAGAGGAAAAGGCCCTATATTTCCCTTGCAGTCTTATGCTGGTCACCACACCCTATTCTTCAACAGTTCATCTTTCCATTTCCAAAGCACCACCCACCCGTCCTTCAAAACATCCAACAACCAACCTGCACTGATGGACAAAATGGCAACTTCCCTCCTTGTCACAACCCTCAACTCGCCAGTTTCCACAAAAAGGCATCTTCAAGTACACCTAAAGGGGCATTTCCCTTCCTTTGGCCAAACTGCCACTTTACCATTTTATTATAGGAAGAACATTTGTGAACAGCCACCCTATTCCTTACTGGATCTCCCATCTGAAACTCTTGTGGTGCTAGCTCCCCTGTAACTGCCCTTCTTTCTTTCCAAGTTGTGTTTTTACAATGGAATCTACTATCTCTCCTCCTTAAAATCTTCCACTTTCATATCTACCATCTCATTCTGATTTGGTCTCTGATCTCTGATCACCACAAAATGCCTTTCATAAGAATCACAACAATCACATTTTGCTATCTGGGAAAGCTCCCCAAATGACTAATGGTCCCAGGTTCCCAATTCACAGCAATCATTAATATGCAGCACCAATCTTCTATTTTGAATCATGGCAAGAGAATCCAGATACCCTGCCATTTTTTGGGGACTCTTAAAGGCTTTAGAGCCTGATCTAAATCTAGCTTGATTAGGCTATTTTTGGACATCATCTGGATTTATAATCTTCCGGTATTTCTTGCTGTACATTTTTTGTTCATATTTAATACAATGATACTTTACCTTCTCTCAAAAAATTCTGTTAGAGTCCTAGTGACATCTAATAAATCAGATGTTTTATTGTGAAGTTCAATGGGTCCACGGTCCACTTATGGGACATGGATGTTCCATTTTAAGTTCCTTGTCTAAAAGGAATAGTTTTTGGGGCTATGTTGATGCATGGAGAGATGAAACCAACTGATAACTGGGTAGGGCTTAGGTTGAGCATTTGCTAAATTTTGAAAGGGGTCTCAGTGCTTGGCTAATATAATGGAAACTCTTCAATGTGGGTAATCAATTTGCATGTATGCTTCCAATGTGAAAGCCACGTGGAATACTTAGAAAAGTTGTATTAAAAGGAAAATGTAGCCAGAGAATTTTGGTATCTTGACCTATTTGCAAGGAGAAAAAGAAGGTGCTGCAATATGTTTGCTGAAAGGATTTGAGATAGGTAGGGAGGCAGTCCTGGTTTCTCACTTGATGTTTGCAGATGACATCATCCTTTTCCTGGAGGCGGATTGGGAGAACATTTCCAACTTAAAAAGAGTGTTAAATATGTTTGAGATGGTGACTGGACTCAGAATTAATTACACGAAAAGCAGCATTATGGCCCTAAATGTTGGTGACCCTCTATTGGACAGGTTTAAGGAGCTGTTGGGGTGTAAGTTGGAGAGGCTCCCCATTGCCTATTTGGGAATGCCTCTTGGTGGGAACCCGAGAAGTCAAAAGTTTTTGAGACCCGGTAGTGGAAAAATGTGAGAAAAGATTGGCCATGTGGAAGAAAAGCTTTCTTTCAAAAGGTGGAAGACTTGCACTAATTAAGGCTTCCCTTTATTGGACTCAGAATTAATTACACAAAAAGCAGCATTGTGGGCGTAAATGTTGGTGACCCTCTATTGGACAGGTTTAAGGAGCTGTTGGGGTGTAAGTTGGAGAGGCTCCCCATTGCCTATTTGGGAATGCCTCTTGGTGGGAACCTGAGAAGTCAAAGTTTTTGGGACCCAGTAGTGGAAAAATGTGAGAAAAGATTGGCCATGTGGAAGAAAAGCTTTCTTTCAAAAGGTGGAAGACTTACACTAATTAAGGCTTCCCTTGCCAACCTTCCAATCTACTTCTTGTTGGTTTTCCAAGTCCCAGGCAAAGTAAAAGGCAAGATTGAAAAGCTACAACGGGATTTCCTATGGGAAGGGGGTGGTGTAAAGAAGTGTCATCTAGTAGGCTGGAATCAGGTTTGCAAGGCAAAGGAAGTTGGTGGATTGGTACTAGGTCATATCAAAGAAAGGAACTTTGCCCTTCTTGGAAAATGGCTTTGGAGGTATCCCTTGGAGATGGAAGTGTTGTGGACAAAAATCATCAAGAGCAAGTACAGGAAACATGCCAATGGTTGAGATATCAAGGTCCACTTGAACCGGGTCAAAGCCTCTAACCCTTGGAAAGGTATTGCTTCTATCTATGACCTCTTTTTTGATTCTGTTAGTAGAATCAAATTTTGGACTGATTTGTGGTGGGGAGAGGACACCCTTGCTAACTTCTATCTTAGAATCCTTAACCTGTCCCAATCCAAAGAAGCCACGGTAGCCTCTAGCCTCAACCCTACACCCTCGGGAACAACTTGGAACCTAAACCTCAGAAGGCCTTTAAGAGATAGAAATTGCTGATATAGCTAGTTTTGCTAAACTCTCTTAATGAGGCTTATATCTCTCTTGCTACCCCTGACCAGATAATTTGGAAACTTAATCCTGCCGGCAAGTTCTCCACTAACTCCTTTTTCAAGGCTCTAGTGTCAGAAGATCAGAGGCCTCCCTTTCCGGCTAAGAAAGTCTGGAGATCACACATCCCTCGTAGAGTCTCGTCTCCTTTGTGTGGGAAGCCTGTTTAAAGAGAATAAACACCTGCGAGTTGATTCAGAAAAAGTTTAAAGGCAGATTATGCATCTCCTCTCATGTCTGTCCTTTTGTCTTGGCGACGGGGAGACAACTCATCACATCCTTCTCCATTGCCTGGTCACTAGGAAGATTTGGTACTTCTTCCTAAACCTAGTTGGTTACAGCTGGGTGTTCCCAGAGAGGGTGGTGGACATCTTGTGGCAATGGCAAGGCAGAGGGCTAGGAAAAAGAGGAAGATTTTACCGGAATACAGTGACCCATGCAGTCTTGTGGGGCATTTGGGAAGAAAAGAACAATAGAACTTTTGAAAATAAAGCTAGAAATGTTGAAGATCTAACTTCCTACATCACATATCTCTGCAACCTTTGGGTAATCAACTCTGAAGTGTTCAAAGGTCTCTCCCTAAATGATCTCCAGAGCAACCTTCCAGAAATCCTACACTCCTCTCCAAGGTCTGAGTGGACTATGAGACAGGCTCTTAGAGAAGAAGGAGAAATGACTCTAAACTTTGATGGTAGCGCCCAAGGTTCCACAGGTCAAGCAGGAATTGGAGGTGTAACCCAAGGGGAAGGGGGAATATTTGCTGGGCTTACAGTGGTCCGATTGGGAGGGCAGATTGCCACAAAGGCAGAGGTACTGGCTGCATTCACAGGAATTCGCCTTGCCAAACGGCTAGGTTTATTCTCTTTAACCCTTAAAGGGGATTCTACAAATACTATAGCTTGGTCACAGGAGAAGGGAGGGCCCTGGAGACTAGCCCACTTCTTAGCTGAAGCCAGGAATATCTTAGGCTCTATGAATGTGAAGCTGGTCTGGATTCCTAGGGAGCAAAATTCTGTTGCTGATATCCTAGCAAAATCAGGGGTCTCTAGAGATTTCATGTTTAGTGACAGTTGTTTGCCTTTGTAATCCTGCCAAGCCACTCTTGGCTTCAGTACATCCTCTCATGTACTTCTGTTTTTTCTTCAATAAAAAGTTTTCATGGACAATATGAGTTCATATTGCAATTGGTGTGTTATGGACGCATTCCTCGGGAAGACGTACCATCGCCGCTGGCAGCAACAGGCACCTGACCTGCCGCCAGCAGCAGCAGTGATTCAATGATTCTCATCCTACCCAGTTCGGCAACAGCAGCCTTATCTAGATTAGATTAGATCATCTTGCTTGTTCTTATCTTATTCTATTGCTCTTATCTTATCTTGTTAGTAGCTTATCAGATTAGGATTAGCTTATCTTATTCTTATCCTTAGCAAGATAGAACTGGAAGTCTCCCTATTCAGCAAGGAGACTCCCTTTGATTAGGACTCTTGTAATCTCCTATTTAAGGAGACCCCATTATTGAATGAGGATATCGAATCTTCAGTTTAAGAAGTGAGTTAGGAGAGTTGGTGATCTCTTGGACAAATCACCAGAGGCGCCAAGATAGGTTCATCAAGAGCAGGAAGGAACAAGGGAAAATAGGAGGTTTTCCCCATGGACCGACCCGTGACGAGATCATATTCCCGGGCCCTCAACAACTTGGTATCAGAGCAAGGCGTCATGGGAGATCTGGAGCAGCTACCATCCAGGGTCCACGACCTCGAGCACCAACTCGTGGAGACCAGCTCCGAAGTCCATGAAATCAAAGACGAAGTGAGGGAGCTGCGATGCCTGATGGAGCTATTCCTTTCTAGCAGGGAAGGGAACTCTGAAGGAGGGATAGCTGCTAACAGCTGCCGACCAGATCTGCTAGAGTCTTTTGGCGAACAACAGTCCGTTAGCCAAAGAACCGCAGTCATCCCCAAGTACAACAGGCTAGAATTCCCGTCGTACAACGGCAACGGAAACCCCTT